TTTTGCTAAATGATTTTTTTATATTTATCAATATTTAGACATGTTTTTAAATGAAAGCTGTATTGTTTTATTATTTCATTAAAAAGTAGACGTCAAAACGAAAAAAATGAGCCCTGTATGACCTCTCTACGATGATTGTAAGTAGTAAAATGTAACTTTGAAAACAACGTGTCTCGGACCGAAATAAATGAATTTTTCAAACAGGTTTTAATATTTCAATCTAAAATTTTGTTTTTGTTGTTTGGGACACAAAAAGGAGTACTTTCAGCAAGTTGGGTTTAAAAATATTTATTTTTGAGAAATTGACAAGTAAAAAACGAAAAACAAATTTTTTTTTGATTGATTGCATTTTTTTCTGAAATTTTGAGGTTATATTAAAAAATGACCCATACAAAAGTTGTAGATTTTTCCAAGATCTACAACTTTTGTATTTAACATTTTTCAGTGGGACATCAAATTTCGCGTGAAATTGCAAAAAACACGAGATGTATCCATTTTCACCCCTTTTCAACCCCTAAAATCATCCCCTAACTTTCTTGGGCACATAACTCATTTTCCTTATGTTGACTTTAACCCTTTTAACCAATTAAAAACGTAGGTTTCTGGATAACATTTTTTTGTTCTCCATATTCAACGTGCCTGGACTATAAATCCATACTGTTTCTCAAATAAGAATTTTGTGTCTGTAAGGTAGTTGTAAAGCCGGATGTAAATTATTATTTTAAAGACTTTGGAGATGACCGCATGGAAATTGGTCGATAATTATCTGGATCAGATTTGCTTCCAGACTTCTAAACAGGAGTCACTTTGGCAATCTTAAGACTATCAGGAAATATTCAAAGTTCAAGGCGCTTATTTATAAAATCGGGGCCGGGAGAGTTCTAAACCTCTCCCGGTCCCGCTCCGCCATCTTCTTCGCAAGCATAACTCGCAGAAGGAGACGGCGGAGTTCTACGCACTCTCGCACCGCACCATGGCTGCAATCATGTTACCGAGCGAGAGAACTCCCACTCTGTTGGCCGCCACGAGGCCACGACTCTGCTTCACCCACGCTGGGTATTCTGCCAGCGTGTGGAGCGCCGTGTCCACGGTTTGGCCATCGCAGTGGTGGCACTCAGTCGTTGGCTCCTTGCAGATCAGACACAGGTGATCCCCGAAGCATCCTTTGCCAGTGATCACCTGCAATAACGGCGTGCCCGCGTCGGAGTGTGCCTGATTTTCTTTGTGCCAATAGTAATAGTAGTATTATTTTGTGTCCAGAAAAATCACAGGAGCGTGATCTCGCTAGTGCACGCTTTTAATTAACTCTCAGTGGGATGTAAAATTTGATCACAATTTTTTCTTGTAGATAATCGTTTTCTTGTAGGTATCTATTATGTACTTTCACGACGGGTCTACGTTTTTGTTATATGTATAGCTCACTTAGCTGGCGTATTAAACTTAAACGTATGATTTTAAAACTATGAAAACCGCATCCATATTTATAGTCCGTGTGGTGATGGATTAAGAATACGGAGTGACACCATCCCTGTTCATCCCATCACTGCAAAGAGAAGGAAAACTTGAAACAAACCCTATACTAAGCAGTCTGGCCAGCGTGGTATACTAGGCCAAAACCTCCTTTTCAAGGAGAGGCCTATGTTCAGCAGTGGACTACTAAATGTTGATATTTATACAGCAGTTTTTGCATGATGCGCAAATAGTCAGAGACAATGTCGCTCTGTTTGTACCTATGTTCTTTATTTCTATTAGTATGTGCTATTGTGGTGTCTGACCTTGATTCTCGCCAAATTCAATTTATCTAGGTCAACCGGAACAACTTACCTTTAACCTCGAAGTCTTTAATCGGTATTTTTTATGGTATAGAAGACAAAGGTGAGCAGGTCACCTGATGGTACGTGACTAACGCCGCCTATGGACACCTGCGACTCAAGAGTCCTCCCTGCAGAACGAGGGGGGTTTGCTAATCTTACTTCACATCACATTACATCAACAGCCCTTTTACAGGCAAGTTATTGCTGTTGCCTACGCTTGTGTAAAAAGCATTAAAACAGGGACACTCCTATTTGTATTTTTTATCCATTCGCATTAAGAAAATAGTGACTCATCGAGCAAGCCCCGCCCCCTTACTAATCAGATGCCAAGCAATTATCGTTTCTTAAGAAAGCTTAGAACCTGATTGGTCAGAGTACGGGTCTTAGGATTAGGATAGTACAGAAAATACCCTCTTTGCCTTTACGCTCGATGTAGTAAGTGAAATGAAAAATAAAACAACCCATCATTGAATATCATTCTTGTTATTATCCATTCACAATTATCTTTAAACTTAATTAGGTTTCTATGAAATACATTCATAATGTACTTAAAGACGAATGACAAAGTACAATTATTACAAAACACCTTATAGCGAGTGGACTATAAAATATTGATGATCAACATAAAATTGCTCCCATATAATGTTATTATTAGGGTCCCTGGTTTCGATTCCTAAGTCGACTAAATACTTTTGTAAACCGACTTTTAAGAAGTTCTGAGTAGCTTCTGCTACAAAATGTTTCATACCAATCATGCAGACTGCTGTACAAAAACGGTTCATTATACGTATAAATTAGGCCCATTATTTATCATATACTATAGTGCATTGCTGGAACTTGCGGCATCTACGCAGCACACATATCTTCATTGCAAACAAGAGAACAGGATGCCCTTCCTTCGATTTGCAGTAACAAAATGTCAGAAAGTGGTAGAAATAAATAAGTAATATTAAGACCGAAACTCAAATAAAGAACACAAACAGAGCATGTCATGAAAGAAATACGAGAAAGACAGAATAAGAAAGAGAAAGAAGATAAGAAGAAATATGTGAATTTTGTATGTATGCATTGTTTGACTGTATGTCCGTTCTGCGATCGGAGGCGCCACACAAACTAATAATGTGGGTAAATGATTTGATGATGATTGTATGACTTTTCTTTTTTTTAAAGACAACTCCCATATGTTCCGTATTGTGTGTGTCCGTTTTATAAATGTGAAGACATTTATAAAACAGACACAAAGATCACCCAGACTCAGAACAACAATGATGACAACAAAAATTCGTAATTCGAACAATTGACGTTCCATATGGGGATCGAACCCACAACGCACACACAGTAGGGAGCGACAAGGTAACCGCTGTCACAACTACAACATCTTCTCTCTCCATTTCTCTTATGAGCCATCAAATAAAGTTATTTATTACTACTTATTCTGTGACGTTGCATAAAAAAAAGTGTATTCAGGTAGGCCTAGTTAATTATGAAGAGCAAATTGGAAAATAAATTAAATGCTATTTTGACAAAGCGGGTAAAATGGTTGAGTAAGGGACCAAGGTCTAAGACTTCAGCTATTCGTCGATGCCAGTGTAGCTATAAGTGGCGTTACGTACGTGGCGTTACACCGAAGTGAAATATTATTAAGACTGAAACGCCGGCTTAACATCGCAGGGAACGCCAGAGCTTATTATGGCATTTTTTATATTATTTCGAAATTTAAATATTTTAGAAAGCACTTATGGTCTGACTACATACTAAAAGTAAAACACTGAATTATATTACAAGCAGTAGGCAGTCTAATAACTACAAAAAAAAAAGGGGGGAAAATCGTATTTATTTAAAGACAAGACCCACTCTTGTATAAAACTGAGGACTGTATCTTACATCAATAAAATAAGTTACTGCTTTATATTCCAATTAACTGGCCCATTATTATTGAATCTTACCTACATAAATAAAATGTAGCCCAAAACATAGAGTACTTTATATGATAATTTGTTTTCAAACTCACACATCTTTGTTTTACAATGCATTCTGTTACAAAGGTTCGTGAGGACCAAGGATAAAAACAATATGGTATAGGACTCGCAAAGTACATTAATCCACAGTCTACGAAAACACATTCGTAAATAGCAAGAACCTTACAACTATTTAGGTATTTAAAACTGTAATGTACACCTTATATTGTATCACTTAAGGTCAATTTTGTCTCATCAAAGTCAGTAGTTTATATCACTATAGCAGAACATACAGATTGTTTATATGTACATCACATGTTACTTTCATGAACTTATAACACTTCTGATCGAAGTAATTATACTTCTGACGAATACAAACTGAATTACTTCCAGTAGCTCACAATTCAACCTATATAATTCAAATTCCTATATAATTTCCTAATATATAAATATCAAGTGTTTGTGATTATGTGATCGCGCCCCTCCGAAACGGCTAGATCGATTATCCTGTTTTTTTTTTGTATATTTACTCCAACCCCCATTTTTTATATAGATTGCTTTGATAATTTACATGACAGAACAAGGTTGACGGGTCATCTAGTAATTCTTTTCTTTTTTCAAAAGACAATTCCCGTATTAGTAATATATCCTGTGTCGCGAGGGACTTTACAAACATACATAAAACTGACACAAAGAACACCCAGACTCAGTAAAACAATTTGTGGATCACACAAAGTGTCGTCCCACGTGGGGATCGAACCCACAACACTCAGTGTAGTAGTAAGCGGCGTGGTGACCCTTTAAACCACTACGCCATCCGTGCAGTCGTAATAATAATATTGCTGGCAAGAGCCCATTCGACTTAAAAGTATGCACCATGGGCTGCGTGAGATATTGCTTTCAATCCAATTCATACTTATAGTCACAACTCTTTCCAGCCATTGGTTTCTCTTCTTACCTACTACTACTATTTTCCTGTCTTCAGTTTTTGTAGTGCCCAGTTAACTTGCCGTGAACGTGAGTAGGATTAATTTATTGTTGGCAAAATCTAGGTGTTTAATATGGATTTGCCTACCCTTCGGAGTAAAGGCGTGAGTGTATGTGTATAGACTAAGTGAGTAAAGACTGACAATAGTACTAAGTGTTCCGTGATATATATACATACTTGCGATTAATGTTACATATGAACAATCTCTGAGTAACTCACTATAATGAATTAGTACAAGTCTCATACACCCGGTATGAGGCCAGGTTTTCTGCCAGGCCATGCTTCTTTGGCGTATTTCTTCCTCCGAGGTTCGCTTGAAGGACCAGCTTCTTCTGGAGCTGAAAAACAACATTACATTATATACAATCTTATTCACCGACTTATAATCAAACCTTACCCGGTAATCCATAAAATTGTGAAAACAATTCTTCATTGTGTTATTAACAGATTTTCTTGAATTCGCTCAAAATAACTTATAGCTGATTTTAATGTAGTAAAGTTAGAACAAATAATATTCTATATGACCAGTATACTATTGTTCTACACCTTGTCAAAAAACGAAATGGTCGGTGGTAAATTCTAAGATCTGACCACAACAGGTTTAATGGGAAATGGGAGTGTTTACTAGTGCCAGTTAATTCATGTATTAATTTTTCTAAAATATCCTTTTATAATACAAGGCCTTTTGTATAATCTATTGTCTAAAAATGAACTACAGATTATATGAAAAAAAGATAGTTAGAATCGCCATAATTAATAAGGCATTTAGAGTAATTAAATTTATTATTACCTGTATGTGGTAGTGGTGGATGTATATTAAGATGTGGTTCAGGACCTTCCAATTCCACATCTGGGGCAGGATTAGGTAATGACAAACCGAGTCTGAAAAGTAAGATGAACAATTTAATTTTTGAATACATTTGGTGACATCACGTGCAGTAAATTGTTCGGAACTATCATAGGCGTCCCACCGTCACAAAAATCAATGATTACATAAAAACATACATTACTACGTAATTTTAGAAGCCTACTTTTTAAATGATAAACAAAGAGTTGGATTATTACCTTGCTCCTATTAGACTGAGATGAGAACTAGGCGCTGGTAGATCAGAGTACAAGTTGCTGCCTCTTGAAATCTCTTGCAGACGTAATGAATGGTGATGTGAACCTGTACAACAGACAGTACATTATCTATTCTATATATTTAAAAATGGAAAATTGGTTTGTGTGTGCTTAAAAACTCAAAAGTTCTGCACTGATTGACCTCAAATTTACAACATACAAGCCGTTTTAAAGGTGGTTTTTAATCTACTCTGCTACAGCGAAGCAATAATAATGTATTCACTTCAGTAACCAGGACTATTAAATAAGTAAACTTAAGATCTATTATTAGTAAGATGATACAACTAAAACAGAATTCAAAATAGTTAAAATTAAGGATAATTACGCAGACTGCGCATATGGCCCGCCATTGCCAAATCCACTGTGAGAGGGCACAACATAGGCCCACATATGCACAATCAAGCCTTTCTGCAAATATGTTTAGGATGCTGTTGGAGCTGGACCACACTCTGTACCTGATCCAAACCTCTTACGCAAAGTTACGTAACAGCAAGCTACCTTAGCAACCGGAAACATACCCTAAACGCATTGTTGTATTGATGACGAAGAGCGTTTTACGAAATCTGAGTAAACCTAACCTACAGGTAGCCAAAATTTAAAACAAACATTTCGTGAATGGTATGTGAAATTGTATATTAACACACGATATACGATTTTACTCCTGTGTGGTTAGGGAATGCTTGACTAGTGACGGAGCTGACACGGAACCTTTAACAAAGTGAATTGCGACATACGTGCGTTAAACGCTTCACCGTTCTGATAAACTCCTCTGTCGACTATACAACTTTTGTCCATTCGCGTTAAGAAAATAGTAACGCATCGATCACGCCCCGCCCCCTGACCTTGTATTATACTATTTTAATACTATGTTAACATGGGTTAAGAAAGGCATTTGGTCTAAATTTTTTTTTCATGAGAAGCTATACTACCGGTTGTCTATGGCCTAGTGGTGGTATTATAGACATAGTATGATAGATATTTCTAAGATAAAAAAGACTTACTATCATCGGGGGTCTGCAGCTTTAACTTTCTCGGTTCACTATTAGCATTGGGCACTATAGTAGACTTCACTAAGTTCCTGAAGCGGCCAATAGTTGGGTCAATGTCCTCGGGGTTGATGATGTCCACTTCTTCGTTGAAGGATACGTTACGCCTTTGTTTCTTGGCGACGCCGCCCGGCATTGAGGCTGAGCGCTTTGTGCCCGATGCTGGCTGAAATATATTTTTTATTTTGTAAATTGCACTAAGCCTCATTTTAAATAAATATTATGATTACCTATTATTACTAGTAATAAATATTATAAAAAGTGGTCCATGTGGTGACGGATTACAAGTACGGAGTGTCACCATTCCTATTACACCACTCCATTCCATGGTTGTTGTAAGAGCCGACTAAGGGAACAAACTAAGCAGGACAACAGCACTGCAAAGAGAAGAGAAAACTTAACTGTGGGATAGTAGGCCAAAACCTCCTTTCTAAGGAGAGGCCTATGTCCAGCAGTGGACTAGTAAAGGCTGTTGATGAAGATGATAATTTATAAATTCTTCAATGCAGGGCGCATTTGCTGATGCGGTTTTTTTTTATTATAATAATTGAAGCGATAGGCTATAAAGTTAGTTAATTAGTTTATTTGTTATTAACTCCATCAACCATCATTCAATTCTAAACACATGTTTACAATCATCAGAGATACAGAAAAGTTCATCAGTGTACCATAACAAAACTGGAATATTCCTGCAGATTTGCAGGTCTAATGCTAAGGCTAAAGGTCCCGATTAACGCAGACAATAGCTGGTGATGCATAAACCAAACCTAATCAGAATTGACAAAATTGGCAAGCTGTGTTATATATATTATTTATTCTTACCTGGTCCATGTACTAGAAAGCATGCAAATAAAAAAAGGAAATAGTTTAGTGTATTAATACAAAATCACTAATTTGGCATATCTAGTGGAACATGCAATGAATATATTTCGTTCATATTTTGCAAAACGTCTAAGAAAAACTTTCCATTAGGAAAATTTGTAATTAAGTTAGAGCAACTGTGTATGTACAAGAACACTAAAAAGTAGGAAACTACCCCTAAATCTGAGAAAGAAAGCGATTCCTGATCTATACATCATTTATTGTCGTAAATAAATGGCATAGTCACTACAACTCCTGTAAACCTAAGGTATATTGATTAATTAAATTAAAACTCCTTATTTTCCATCCTAGATTTAGTTATATTGAAGATTGAGCTTAAAGATAGATATTAATAGATTAGTTCTTTCCTTAGTAGCTTTAAAAAAAGCTTTGCTCATGCAACTAAATCTAACGGTCAAGCATTTATTGTCCTCGGTAACAACCATTCTTTTTTCTGTAGTTAATCAGAATGTACGCATAAGTGTATTAATATAATTGTGTTGAAGCACAGGACTTAGCATGATCACGTTACAGTATCAGGTACGGGACAACCTGTTCAAAATGTCAGGCCTATGTTTCACGTAACACACATACCTGTACTCAGGTGTAGAATGAGAGGAATTTAGTTATTAAGTTAAATTGTAGCAAACTAAAATAGACCTGCCACTTTTGACGTCCTCTAGGCGTCTTTAAACAACAAATTTTTATGTAGTAATACTCTTACCTTCATAACATCACTGCCATCATCAGTTGAAATACCCAACATTGAAATTCTTCTGTTGTGTGCTGTATTGAATTCTGTTAGATTCTGTAAATAATAATACAGTGATTGAAGAATCCACACATCAAATTGAAAAATTTTGATGCTGATTAATTAGTTTATGATTGATCGATTGGTAATGACTGATTGAATTGAAGAAACTTTTCATAAAATTGTGCCTTACTGTTTTTTAATGAAAATACACTTACATCTAATTCCGTTTGTGTTTCAGGCAGACCTAGTAAAGCACCTTCCGTCTCAGTATTTGGTAGATCTTCCATTATACCACGTGAATTGCCGGTAGGCCTTTCTCTGTTGGAGACAAAAAACTTAATAACATATTATATCTATACATAATTATGATCATTTTCTTAGTCTTCCTAATACTATTTGGTGTTGATGCTTTATGGAACATAAAAAAAATGTTTTGACTGGTTTCTTTTCTTCTATGGTGTCAGAATTTTGGAACAAGAAAGAAGGAAAGAGATAGAGCAAGAAAGTTCAGAGACCTCAAGCTAAGTGAATTTCGAATGAGTAAGATGGAACTGAGGCTGAGAGCCTATACTATGGTAACCAGACTGCTGATAAACACACTTATATATTTCTAAATAAATACATATTATAGATGTGTCCATAACCTATGTGTCTGTCTTGTGATTGGAAATGTCATTAAGACAGGAATGCCAACTGATCATTATATAAATACCAGCGCCAACTATCAAGCTAATAGAGGAAAACACAGCATTTTAAAACAGACATGAAATGCACACCAAATTTTCGAAATTAAACATTTGAATTTATGGTTCTTGTTTTCAAAAAAGCATTAATATTGTCAATTACCAACTCCTAATTCCTTTATGTGGGATGAGTTTCATTCTCCATTTTCTAATCTGCATACAATTGTACATTTCTCTTTAATGGAAGATGCTTTACTACATTGAGATGACATTTTATTCAAAAATCAATAACAATGCATGTGAACTTGAATTATCAATTCATCATCCACTGAGAATCAAAATTAAATCGAGCCATGCGCTGCACACGCACTGAACGTAGTCAACGAGCATGAGACAAAAAAAAGTCACTAACATGGCCAAAGATGTTACAAACCATGTTGTCACAATAACTAGACAAAATAGAGCATAATTTATTAAAAATAGGTCATGATAAGGGAAGTCATTTTATCCGAGTTTATTTTAAAAATTCCGTATAATAAACCAAACCTGTGTTAAAAATTTAATCCAGTTAATACTGGCAGTTATAATAACAGATTCCTCCATATACTAATAACAACTGAATTATGTTAAATGCTATAGAATCGCAAGTGTTAAAAACATTAGACTTATATTTGCATAGTCATTGTGGTTAAACCTTTATAATATTTATTTATTTATTTTTAACTTTTTGCACAAGTACATGCATCGGCGGACTTAATGCCTAAGGCATTCTCTGCCAGTCGACCGATTGGGCGGTGCTGAGAAAGAATGAGGTAGGCGCATTTATGGTAGGGTATAAACGATAGTGGTTTTGTTAAATACCAACTATCTTGGAATTTGGTGTATACGTCGTAATACCACACACATACACATACATATACATATACATACTAACATACATACTCGTAAATAGTGGGCCTAAAGCCTTTTATTCGTATGTGCGCCAACAGCTTTCTTCAGCGGTGTCAGTACCCCCCTCATTGAAGGACGATGGTAAGAATTTAATCAATGACCAGAAGACAGTGGCCAACCTGTTCGCTAAGCAATTTGTAAAGTCGTATACTGCGGAACCACCAAACACATCAATGCCATGTATTAAGATGCCACGCATTGAAAAATCTATTGAAAATATCACAATTTCCCCAGATATTGTTAGCAAAACCCTCAAAACATTCAGCGATACAACATCAATGGGTCCTGATTCTCTGCCTTCAATAGTATTAAAGCAATGTAGCAATGTGCTTTCTCACCAACTGTCACATATTATGAATGTGTCTCTTAAAACAGGAAAACTACCGCAGGAGTGGAAGGAAGCTCATGTGACGCCAATATATAAAAAGGGTGACAAATACCTTGCAGCCAACTACCGTCCAATCAGCCTTACAAGTATAGCTTGTAAAACTATGGAAAAAATAATAGCAGCAGAAATAAGGCAATTTATCAGTATCGAGAATGTTATTATGGAAGAACAACATGGGTTTGTTCCTAAGAGATCCACTGTCACAAATCTTCTTACTTGCCTTGACAAGTGGACGTGCAACTGGAATAACAATCAACCAACTGATACTATTTACCTGGACTATGAAAAGGCTTTCGATAGGGTTCCCATTAAAAGATTAACAGCAAAGCTCGAGCACATCGGAATACGTGGACAGCTTCTTCAATGGATATCTGACTTCTTAACTAATAGACAATTCAGAGTAAGATTGGGGGACACACTATCAGAAGCTCACAATGTACACAGCGGAGTGCCTCAGGGATCTGTGATCGGACCTGTCTTGTTTGGTATCTTCATTACTGACCTCAGAAGTGCTATTAGATCAGACTTATCTGTGTTTGCTGACGATACCAAAATATTGGGAAACCCCCTCATCAGTCATAGCGTTATACAACAGGACTTGGATCGTATTGTACAGTGGACACAGGACTGGCTCATCCCACTAAATGCAACGAAGTGTACCGTTTTACATATGGGCCACAACAACCCGAAGTTGAAATACAAGATTGGTTCGGTGGAAATGAAACCTGTAAGTTCCCAAAGAGATCTAGGGGTAACCATCACACATAACCTCAAGTGGGATGTACATATCACAAATATAGTGAAGAGGGCTAATTCCATGCTGTATGTGGTTAGAAAAGCATTTAACATCATAACAAAAGACTTGTTTATAAAGATCTACAAAACATACATCCGCCCGCTCTTGGACTACACATTTCAAATATGGAATCCATACTTCAAGAAAGACATAGAAATGCTCGAAAAAGTACAACGGAGGGCTACAAAGATGGTTATATCATTAAAAAACATGTCATATGAGGAACGCCTTATTGAACTAGACTTAACTACACTGGAGCAACGCAGGCAACGGGGAGATCTGATTGAAACATATAAAATATTAACTGGACACTACAATGTGAAAGACATCGGAAACCTCTACACTATGAATTCTAATACCCGATTGAGAGGACACCATTTGAAGCTCACTAGGTCTCCGTCTGTTAGCAACCCTAGAAGACACTTTCTACCAAATCGCGTGGTGACCATTTGGAATAGTTTACCGGAAAGTGTAATTAGTGCTGGATCAGTGAACATTTTTAAAAACAGACTAGACGAACATTTAAAAACAACAAAATGAACACAAGTGCAGTGATATGTACGCATCAGATCTGTGATCTGCTAGTGCATTATAGAATAAACGCACACAGAAAAGATGACTAAATACACAGACTTAGCAACGGAAATAAAAAGGCAATGGCAGGTAGATAGAGTTAAAATAGTACCGATTGTCATATCTACAACTGGTGTAGTACCGAAGACTCTTCAAGATAGCCTCAACACATTGGAAATGCCGAAATCCTCTCTCATACTCTTACAAAAAGCAGTCCTTCTTAACACATGCCGTCTCACACGCAAATTTCTCGCTTCATCCTCATCATCTTAACTTCATATCATCATCCCTTTTTGGCACACTTGGCTAAGGCCCGTGTGTTAGATTTTGTTACCCCTTTAAAATAAAAGGGAGACCAGACAAGGTATAAAATGACATAATAATAATAATAATAATAATACTCATAAATATATACATATATACATACTGTAATAATTAAAATTAAAAAAATTAAATTATATGTTGTGGGGTGTGTTTTAAAAGAATTAAAACTAAAATTGGTGAACTGGTGGCATCAAATAGAAACAAAATAACAAAATAAAAGTCTCGGGCGCCAGATACCACCTTAAAAGAACACAGAACCCACCACAAACACAACAAATACCTCGGACATCTCAGCCAGCGTTGAACCTTTTTAAAACAAAGCGGGAGGCAGCTAATGAATACAAGATGTTAAGTTCTATTGGCAGTTTATTATCCCGTAGTGTCTGTAGAGTACAATGTGTCTTATGTCTCTAATTACATTAGGTAATTCTTATACACAAATTAGTACTGTCATTAATGCAATCCTTTCCAATAAGAAAAATATAAGGTTAAATAAATTTTAAAGAGTCACATAAAGACTAAATAGACAAAACAGTAAACTCTAAGGGTAGACATAGCATTGACCTACTCTCTAATGAAAAATAACACCCTTTGGGGACCTGCAGTGTTCAATGCCACGTCGCCAAGAAAAATATAACAAAACTACATACCGCAAACCAATGACCTTGGATCAGACCGAACGAAATGAAATCAAACCAACTCCGAAACTTTTCTCTCCGGTTCCCACGTGGTGTAAGAGGCGGGTCAGCACTCCCAGGCTCCAGACCATGGCGTACAGCTAAGCAGCTTTTTCTACCATTCTGGCGCTCCACAGCAAACTAATTTCTTGGGGTTAAACTCCGGCGAGAGACAAAAATCGAATGCCACGCAAGGACATTCCAATAAGAAAGTAAAATAATTTAGGTGATGTAAAGACTTAAGATATAAGCTAAAAAAGAAAAGAACCCTGATTCATCTGCAAATAAGGAAAAATTATAGGTTAAAAGCCTATCTCACAAGATGAACCATAACTCTGACAAGAAATCATATTTCACTTACCAGGGTTCTAAAATGCTTCACAAATCAAGCAGCGGCATTATAAGCATTATAAGCATTGCCTGTAACCAATTAAACAAAGAGTTAAAACCACAAATTCCGCCAAGCCAAGCGTGAAGCACGTGGCCGAACAAAACTCACCTTTTTAACGAAAATAATCACTCGATCCACTAGCTCGAGTCTTAACTAGGTTGGCCAAACTTTTAAAGAGGAAATAGGCCCTCGTCCATATCAAATAAATACGGATTTCTAAAAAATTAAATGACAAAATTTGTTTTGCGTCATTTCGCTCGGCGGCCGGTCCAAAAGTGAAAGTCAAAGTGATACCAGTGCAATCGCCTCTCGCTCTATAGAGCGGGGACACAAAAATGTTGCCTGTACAAGAAAAATAAATCGACTAACTACTGCGGGCGAACAACATCGATTATTACTCTCGTCCGCCCCTCGACCATCGGCACACGCAGAAACGACAAAAAATTCAACCTAACAAAACAAAAACGAGACCAAGGTTCAAATTACTGTAATGGTGCGAAATGCACCGTTACAATACATACACATACACATATATATATACATACACATACACATATATATATATGAGAAAAATAAAAAAAATAAAAAATTTAGCGGATGAACTAGGAGCTCGTTGAATCTGCCATTTAGCTCAGCAATAGCTCTTTCACTTTCGTCTTAAAAGAGTACCGATTTGTAGCCATCCTGACTTCGTTAGGAAGCGCATTCCATAAGAGGTCAGCCTGGACAAAGAACGAAGAGCCGACAAACCCAGTGGTGTGAGAAGGACAGAGTAGAAGAAGATTGTTGGCCGAACGAAGGTTTCTGTTGTGGTTGTTGCATAACAATTGAAATTGTGTTGTTAAATAAGTAGGAGGGGATGGGAATTGAGGATAGTGTACATAGTCGTGAGAGCGCTCATTTTCCTGCGTTGACGAATAGGTAACCATCTTAGTTAATATGCACTATGTTACCCTTTGCTAAAGTAACATTTAGTCACTAGTTTTTCTGCCTATGAGGAAACCTCTTGCACAACACTTCATGCAGAAACCACCTCAATTTGGTACTTTTTAATATGTATTAAGTAGTATATCGAGAAGTAGCATAGGTTAGACTGTAGATTAGGGATTCCCAAAGTGGCCAATATCGACCCCTTGGGATCAAAATCAGTTTCCTGGGAAACCATAAACGAAAACCGAAAGGGTAGATATAAACGAAAACTGATTTTGAGGGTTGACAAGGTCTAAAAATCAACCGATATTAATTATAAAAGTTCTCATTTGAAACTTTCAAGATACTGAACTAGTCATGTTATATGTACCAACTTATATAAGAATGACATATATTTTAGTAAGAACTTATTGTGTGAATTAATTTGGCTACGGAAGTCTGAGGTATCAGTTCATTTTAGAAAAGGGGTCTCTTGCCCATCATCAAATATCTTATATAATTTTTTACAGAAAATTTAATTTACAGAATTATGTTTTTGGTACTGCTCTTAACTTTTCTACAATAGTCCTAATCAGTCAGTCAGAAATATGGATTGATTGATTACTCAGATATGTTTCTGGAAAGCACTTGCCTACATACCAACCATACCATACCATTGATACCACACAGACATACCTTATAATATAATTTCTGGTAGAAGCCCCAAAGTGGAAATTGGAATCAATTGGAAGTTGCGTAGGTTTCTGTGATTCCAGACGCATCTGGCCAATAAATGTCCCATGAGCTGGAAAATTTAAACATCATCACTATTATTTTATTGGTGAATTAGTGGTAGAGAATTGATATTACTTACTGCTGCCTAAATCGACCAAAAATGCTCTGTTCAGATCTTTATGGTAAACAAATGCTGCATGTACTCTTGAACAACTCGCATGGTCTATACAAAAATCGTTCATTTGTGGGTTTCGTCCAAATAAATAACATTTCTTCTCATCTATCATAAGTTTCTGAATCAATTTGTCCCCTTTTAAAACGTCTAAATGAAGTCCTGTAGGTGGTTTTCCGGCCCTAAAATTATTTATTTATTTTATACCGGCGACATAAGATGTGTGAAAAGAAATATAATTTGGAATCCTTTCAGTAAGAAAGGATATCTTACCAACTGGGCACTTCGTAATGATTAGCCATTACTTTATTTTGTGCTTTACCTAATTAAATACAAGTTATTAACATTACAATGGGATATTAGAACCCTTCCGCAACATACGATACGATAACGATAAAGCAGATGCAGTGTCAAAGTTATGACAGAGTGACATAAATACCATTTTGTCTATGGAATTCGTTTATGTCCGCAGACTCCGCATAACATTATGATAACTAAATATTAGAAAAATACTATTATAAATACAATAAATGAAGTTAACTCTATGTGTTTTATCAAAAAAATTAAAACTTAACCAATTTCTATGAGTGTGAGACTAGTGTAGAAGTGTTTTTGATATTTTCGATTCAGGTGACACGCTGTCGTTCTTTCTAAAAATTTATGTTCTGAGTTTAACTAATCCTTAAATCGCAATTACTTTAAAATTTGTTTGCTTTAATTTTGTTTGCTCTAAGCTAATAATTAGGCAAGTAGATATCCAATAGTGGTCTGCGGGTGTTGGTGTGCACCACAGAATATATAAAAATACTAGCTGAGACCCGCGGTGTTACCCGCGTTTGTTGTTATAACCGCGGGAAACGCCGCGGGGCGAAGCTAGTCTAAAAAAAGTAGCCTAAGTTACTCTTAATGTCATCAGCTATCTGCCAGTGAAAGTCCCGTTGAAAAAGGTGAAGCCGTTCCAGAGATTACCCGAACAAACAGACAGACAGACAGACAAAAATTGTAAAAAAAAATATTTGTGCATATGTACCGTGTAAACATACATATGCATTTAGTAAAAAGCGATTATTTTAATATTACAAACAGATACTCCAATATAATTTATTTGTATAGATATACTTCATGTATACTCTAGTACTTTGTGTTTCTGCTTGACCATTGACTAGACATAGGACAAAATCATAGTGAACTGTGATTTATTATTAGATTTTTGCCTACGTAGGTTAGGTTGCTTGGAAGGTAGGTTAGACGCTATTTAATAGTAAATTAGTCTTTTTTATTTTTATTTAGGGAATTATAGCAATATTTAATGAAATAATTACTAGATTTACTGTTAAATAGGTGAAATAGGTTCCTCAAGTATCGTCTAAAAACAGCTTATTGACAACAACGCGTGAGTAAGTAGTAACCCTAACCTACATACGAAAAATCAAATGATTAATCACCGGTGTTACACAGTTCACTGTGATTTTTCATTCGATTTTTGCGTCCGTACGTTAGGGCTGCTTGGTAGGTAGGTTAGACGCTTTTACACAGTAAATCTAGAATTTTTTAAATCATTATGTAGGGAATGGTAGCTATATATAATAAAATATTTACTAGATTTACTGTTGAATAGGCGAAATAGGGCATATAGTAAATCGTCTGAAAACAGCTTATTGGCAACTACGCGGAGTAAGTAGTAACCCTAAACTACGTACGAAAAAATTGAAATTTGTCCCATGCCTACCTTGCCATTAGAGATGGGCGTTTTCGTTAAATTTTGTCATCGATGCGCATCGTTATTTAGTGAACCGCATCCGATGCCGGCATCGTTTTTTCTGGCATCGATTTGGTTATGCGATTTCCGATTAGGCAAAATTAGTTGCCGGCTAAAGTGTCTGCGTATGAATATTGGATAGGTACTCGGTAACGTTGCCTTTTTGAAATCATTTGATACCTATTTTATAACTTTGTAAATTATTTAGAAACGATATTCAACATTACGACTTCTACTGGTAAAAAGTATAGAGGTTATAGAATAAACATAAGGTAATTAATATTAGTCTTTACTTTTAACAAAATTAGAGTTGACATTAAGAATAACCAATTTTTCTAATTTGGAACTTGAAAGACGAGTTCTTGGTTCATTCAAAATATACCCGGCTTTGGAGAATATCCGTTTGCATGGCACAGAAGTTATCACAATATTACACCTCGAACGGTATATTTCTGCCAACGTCGGGTATATTTTGGAATGACGGAGCCACCATTCAGTGTGATCGCTCCACTCTCCGTCAACGTTTTGCCGGCGGAAAAGTTTCGTCTTCCAAGTGCAACCGCATCTATCGTCAAATCGATGCTTCGACTTGTCATCGCCGCGTTTTCCGTTTCGTAGTCATCTGGCGCCTCTCGCTCGCTCGCATTCGGGGAAGTTCGTATCGGATGTTGCGGGCATCCGTTTTTCAATATATCGGAATCGGATGCCGGCATCGTGTACTGGCATCGATGCTTAAAAACGTTTTTACAAAAACGACCATCTCTACTTGCCATTGACCACTTCTCTTTGTTGACGTTTGACATATGTAAAATATGTAAATAATTTTATATATTTCACAAATATTAAATAATTAAGCGTTATAAGTAAAAAACACTCTAAATAAAATGGTATCTAGCGAAGAAGAAGCAGAAGTAAAAGCTGGTAATATACTGCAATGGGACGTCGATATGGAAATACAATTATTTTATGCAATGGCGAACCACAAGCCGGTAGGGATAAATAAACATTTTCATATGGCATGCATTTGGGAGAAGCTTTCTAACTCGATCACCAAAGAAATATCCACTCAAGATATATGGAAACATTTAGGGGATCTCTATGATTTAACGCTGCTAGAAGACACAGAGCCAATACCGTTTCCAAACCATGAAGTTCCGTTCAGTTTACCCGACAGTGAATTTGGTTCACTAATGAAGCAGAAATGCAAAGATTCCATATTAGCAGACGACAGTGAAGGTAATCTATGGTATTTAAAATTAAGCATGTAAATTTTATAACTTTATAATGTATACCTAGCAACAGGGCTTCAGGCCAATATTTGTGCGTTTAATGCATTAAAATCTTGCAATTTAGATGGGAGGAGCCCTTCACCTAAGCCTTCGACACCTAGAAGCAGTTCTAGGGGCACTGCATCTAAAGATAGTACACCTAAAGGTAGAATTTGTCTATTATCAATTTGTTTTAATAATTTGGTGTTGTCATGTCTTTCTTAGATAGTTTCTAGCTGTAACTATTAGGTAATATGAACATCTTAGTTAGTACTAATAATATTTTCCAATAAACAAATTATATTGTTAAGGCATAGTTATAATATTTAGATGTTACGTATGATTGAAAAAAAACTAATCTGGTACAGAAAACTTTAGTTTAATAGGCCTAAAAAAAGCAGTACTCTAACAAGACAACAGCTTAAATAAGGTGCTGCCTTTTTACTCAAATAACTGTTTGTCATCCAGCTTGACGGGCCTGTTGGTCTAATTGTTAGTGATCCTGACTGCTCAGCCAGAGGTTGTGGGTTCGATTCCTACCTGGGTGTCTGGGTGTTATTTAGAAATATATAAGTATGTTTATTAGCAGTCTAGATTTTATAGTACAGAAGACAATTCTCGTAATAAAATTTCATTCGAAATTTAGTTCCGATCAAAACTCAGTCTAGCAACTATTATAAAAGGTATTTTCGTAGTAAAGTGTTACTAAGATTAGCAGATAATGAATTCAATTTTCGGTTACAATACCACATAATGGTTGTCAAAGTTTTTACAATTCTAATAGTATGTAGTTTATTTTTGTTAAAATTAGTATAGATATAAGCGATTTGGTGTACACTGTAATGCTTATATTTCATTGATAAAGAATCAAATTGAATTAGAGCGGAAATGGATAATCATATTACAGTCAACGCTGGATGGTTAATACTTTACTACGAAAATACCTTTTATAAAAGTTATAAGATCAAGAGTTGATCAGAACTTTATTGTGACTGAACGTTTATTTAAGAGAATTCGCCTTCAGGCTCTACCTAGTTTGGGATCAGACGGCTATGCATAAAATTTGTGAGGTTATTATTAATAACTCACTTGATGAACAGTCAGAATTACTACAAAGATGGTACAACTCATATAGTATCTAAGAGAAAATTTAAATAAGAGAACTAAGAGAAAAATTATTCATAATTATTTAGCAAAAGTAAGCTGTATATATTATAGTAGTGCTATGTATTCTGTGACTCTCATCATGTTGGCTCAACTCTTCACAACAACTTCGCAAACATGACAGTTATGTAATAATACAGTAACAAGTCCACTGTTTTATTACATTCATTCATCAATGAGAGACAACGATCACAATGGACCCATAACAATGTTATGCATAAGGAGGATGTTAGTACTTAACGACCCCATTCTCCATCTTGTCAATCAAAGTAAGCAATGCTAATTGATCCGGGGAATTCCCTATGCCTATTTTCAAAAACCTATTAGTGATTTTATTATAAGTCTTGAGTTAATATGTGTTGAATTATAACATAAGATATGACCCCTGACATACTTTCATCTGTTGACCAGACTTGATCAAGTTCGAATGCCATTTATATACAATTCACAATCTACCAAATTTGATTTAATTACTAACTTCTTTAGTCTCCTATATCATCAAAAATAAAGCTAAACCTGAACCTCTTTGGTGTTTATATAATACTTAAATGACAATAACAACAATTGGTTACTTAAGATTATATTTAACACATAACTTACTTGACCAGGCAGCCGTAAGGACAGTGTGAGTGCCCTCACTACTAAAACCCGTAAAGAGAGTGGCAGCTCTTATGCATCCACAGACACACCTAGCATCAAGTCTGAAAAGGACTATGGTAAGAATATTTTATGCTCATACAACCAATGAACTTGTACTAAGCTTTACAAAACAAACATCGTTTTTAAGGTTCCGTATCTGAAAAGGAAAAAAGGGAACCCTTATAGGATCACTTTATTGTCCGTCTCCCTGTCTTTCCGTCTGTCTGTCTGTCTGTCTGTTGTCAAGACCTTTTATCTCGAGAACGCGTGAAGGTATCGAATTAAAGTTAAAACTATCAGGACTGTAGTAGTCCCTTGAAGCTGTGAAAAAATCAAAGTTCTAAGTTAACGTAAAAAAAGTTACTGCCGTTTATTAACGAAACTATACATTTGTAATTAAATCATAAAAAATTTAGTCTTTATTATTTAAAGTACTTAATCAATCTTCCTCGGTGTCTCGGTGGTGCAGTGGTAGCGTATGCGAGTGCTGGCATGCTGTGCTGAGGTCTCCATGATCTGCAAATATTTGTTTCGGAGTTTGGGTGTTTTCTATGTATAATATGTATTTACAAAAAAAGTATATAATTATTCTATCAGTCACTCTACACAAGCTCTGCTTAGTTTGAAACTAGACGGCGTTGTGTGTCAGGTGTCCGAAAATATTATTGTTATTTTAATCTTGAGGTACAATCTATACTAATATTATAAAGCTGAAGAGTTTGTTTGTTTGTTTGAACAGTTAATCTCAGAAACTACTGGTCCGATTTGAAAAATTCTTTCAGTGTTAGATAGCCCATTTATCGCGGAAGGCTATAGGCTATATATCATCACGCTAAGACCAATAGGAGCGGAGCACCAATGAAGAATGTTTCAAAAACGGAGAAAATTTATTACTATTGAGAGACGCAGGCGAAGTTGCGCGGGTCAGCTAGTTTACTTATAAACCCTAATAATATAAATAATTATAGGTTTTGGAAACTGAAGTTCAGTAAAAGTGTGAGACTCCATTCCTGAACTATTTATGGCCCTACAAATTTGTACGGAACCCTCTGTGGACGAGTCCATCTCGCACTAATCCGGTTTTTTTTATAAAATTGCCTAGACTATCAAACTAATGAAGATTATTTTACAATTGTAAATAAATGACTTTCACCAGGCAAGTCACAAAAGTTAATATAATGATTAAAAATACTGCTTACCATATTTCTACGGTATGGTGTTCTTTATATAAAATCTTTGTATGCAATCGCTAACACGCGAGAGACCTGGCGTTTCTAGAAGGGACGCCCTACGAACTTTATAATAAGCGGCGGTACCCTAGTGGTTAGGGCATTGGACTTGCAATCAAGAGGTCGTGGGTTCGAATCCTGATCAGTACACTACCGCCGTAAACCCACTCCTAACACAAGCAATTTAGCTTAGCGGGTGGATTTAACGGGAATACTAGTAATTTTGGTTGCTAGTAAGCCTGAAGTTATTTTTCAGTTACTGACAGAAACAGTACTTTTAGCCGGTGAAAAGTCCTATTATGTCTTTCTCTTTATCTCTAACATCGTGAATGCACGATGATTCATCTGTACAGCAGCACATCAAATAGGAATCCATCTATTTATTTTGAACATATATTATATAGTCATCAATGTTTTTATAGATACTTTAATGATCAATGCTATACATATGCCTGCAGACCGTCGAAGAGATTCGAGAGATTCAAACGCGTCTGGCCCCCGTGACAGCTCAAGTAGCAGAAAATCTACATCACAGAGAGATAAAATGCCAAAATCGAAAACTACTTCTGTTGCTGGTAAAGTATTATTTTTATTGGCCAGTCATAGTGGTGCCTGTCTACTTGCAGAGTCTAGGACGCTAACTCAAGTACCACACACCTGTGAAACGCCCCGAAAAAAATACAGACATCCACAGACACTCATTCATGTTTGCTATTGGTATCCAAATATTAATAGAGATGGAACTGTGAATGGAAATGTAGGCTTTTGGATAATTTGAGCACCAGATTCCCTTGAAACCACTACATACTATAATTTAATCATCTAATTTTTATTGCATATTACTAGCTACCCGCCCCAACTTCGCATGGTTAGTAGGGCATTAGCGAGTCCCGTCATTGGTGTGAAAACCGCTTTGGAAAAAGCTTCCAAGCGACTTGACATTTTGACGTGACAACGTCTTATAATTCGATGGAGCCGGCTGCACGCACGAAAAAACATGACTCATGCGGCGTTACCTCGCTCTGAGGCGTTCCATTTAAGGCGTGAAGTGCAAGCGAGAGCGCGGAACGAATGACAAAGAGGCACAATCGGCCTCCGCGTTCGGCAGCGTTCGACATCTGTCTCTCTCCTACTTGAGTGAGCGATGCGTCCGCGTGGACAGCTGCTACTCGTATACAATAATACATTTTTGAAAAATGCAACCATTCCATCAGTATTTTCTTATGACGTTGTCACGTTCAACTATCGTCAGTAAATCGACTTTACAGACAACCGATTTTTTTTTCCATAATCTTAATAATTATATTTCAACCAATTTACACAAAACCTTAACAAATTATACCTACACTTGTAAATAGGTACCCAATGTTGAAAGTTATGACTGTAAATGTTTTACAGCTTGGGAGTCTCCCTTGATTGATGAAGATGGAGGATCTCGCCGTGGGCGCAGGCGAGCGAACACATCCACACCGCCTGCTACTATACCAGCGAAGCGTAGGCGTACCTGACATACGCATACGAACTCATATCAGCATTTCTTCTGACATACACAACGCACCTGGTGGGGGGCACCCTACACAGGGCGAGGGAGAAATCACGCAGTCAATCAATTCTTCTCATAAGTAATTGGTGGTTGTTCTTGTAAATCAAAAATATCTGGACTTGATGTTTTAATTTTCTTGTGCGCAATGCAGTGTAAAATACGTTTTTAGATTCTGATTAATGTGTATAAGCTTCAATTAAACTGATCTCGTTATGTAAAAAAACAACTCCGTATTGTTTCATTTTTAGAATAGGGTAATTTTGAGAGCACCAGGGACTTCCTTTCTAGGGTATACCTGGTTCCCCGGCTATTAGTACCCGAGACGGCGTGCGGTTTTAGTCGGTTCGAGTCCGACATGCCACCGATAGGCGGTATCCGAGGGGATTTCCGCACGGAAAAAAAAAAAGGTTCAAGAACTTTTATATTATATTATTTGCTGCTACGGAACCCTTCATGGGCGAGTCCGACTCGCACATAGCCGCTTTTTTTATTTTGTTCACTTTTTTCTTTTTTGGGTGTATTTCTTGCTTCAAAGCCTTTATTCATAGCCCTCTCTCTCAGCATCATCATCATCAGCCTATCGCAGTCCACTGCTGGACATAGGCCTCTCCCACTGCACGCCACTTAGATCGATAGTGGCGTGCATCGATCTAAATGGCGTGACACTTGGATAGCCCTCTCTCTATCTTTGCTTTGTTTTTTGGTTTACACTTTGTAATAATTGATAGAATGAACCTCGAATCCTCGAATGAAATGATTAATGAATATCTAATAATAACATTTCGGACATCTGATACACAACGCTATCTAGTTTCCATCTAACCGGAGCATTATTAATGAAAAAATGTACGTATGTTTTATATTATTATAAATATTTATAGCTTATTAATTATGCATCATATAATTAATAAGCTATAAATATTTATTATTTCATTAATAATGTTTTAAATAAGTACCTACCTACACATTCTCGGGATAATTTATTAGCAAATCGAATCGTTACGTCCACTCTCTTGGATTTATCTATTTTCATCTATGGTCCACTCGTACCGACGCGGATGGCGACGTGTGCCCATTGAGGTTGAACTTTGCTACATTATGCTAATCTGTGTACGCTTTCTGATATTGATTACGGGCGTAGTCGGCAACAATCGCCCTTTTGCGCGCGCTTCATTCAACATTCGCTTATTTAAAACATAGGAAGTAATTCACTAAGAATCCTAAAATATGTGATTTTTAAATTATTTTTCATAACAAGGGTTCCCTATAAGGGAATCCTTGTATTCAATAATGAAATTGTTTTTTTTTAGATTCAATAAAATGTAAAGTCTAAGAGCTATTCTATTGAAACTTTATATATTTAATAAGTTCACTTTTCAAATCATATCCCACGAATTATGTGTATCTGGTATAATCCAAAACCCAAGTTATGAGGTTTCAAAAAACGAAAATTCTTTCTAGAAAAACTAGGTAGTGCCCTTGCGCTTGTCTTGGCTCGTGTTGAAAAATTGAAAAAACGTGACACTAAACGTATCACTCATTAATAATAAATGAATACCAATCAGTGTCTAGTGGTGTCACCTTTTTATTCTATATCAACTTATTTGACAATTTTAACTTTATTGAGAGTTTTTTAATGCAGTTTGTATGTATCCGATACAAGTTTGGGGTTGACATTACCATAAGTACTAGTGATGGAATAATTAGTCTTCATACTCATATTTAATTGTGAATTCTAAATTAACCGTTAGCAAAATTAATTGTAGTCGAGACATTTCGTCTCTAAATTCTTTCGCTAAATTCTTTAACGATTCACATTCACACAGCGGCTACTTTCTCATTCGCATCAACGCGAAGAATAAATTTAATTTAATAAATCGTCGTGCTAAGAAAATAATACAACTGCTAATGCTAAATTGCTAAATGAACGACATATGAACCGTCTCAAATCACGTTTAAGTTTCTATTTCACTCGGCACAGTGACCGAGCGCGGTGCGATTGATGCTATAACTGAGAGTGCAAAGGATTTTATTGTCTATTTTAAAAGAATTGCACGTATTTTGGATATTTCTTTAAAATTTACCCTAAAGATCAGGGTATAGCGCCCCAATTTCACGGATTTTGACGGACACTTCATTCACGAAGATTAATCTGCTTACCTCTCTACACTCCATAGTTCTTCCTCTACATCATTTGAAAGAAATGTCAAATACCATCTGACACATTTGACAGGCCGTTATCTTATAAGTTTTTTAGTGTTACATAGGGAGCATGTCAATATTCAAAGTAAATTTATTACTTCTACAAGTATTTCTAATGAATTAATATGGCTTTGCCAACTGCACAACCAGCTGAGGTACTTCGAGCCTGGCAGAAAGACGATAGTTATGAAAAGCAATTGGCCGAATCTTTGTCTAAGTTGATATCTCCGCGGCATGCGTCTAAGGCTACACCTGTATCATATTTAATATATAGATCACTTACGACACTAAAAGATCTTCAGACTTTAGGAGAAGAATACTCTGGAATAGTTCAAGTCGACGAAACTTACCTCAAACTTCCGTCATTTTATAGCCGTTTGATCAGCATTCTTTTATCAACATTCGGTGAAAATATTACGAGACATATAATTCAAAGCGCTGAAAAACGAATAGAACGAAGTGGTACTTTAACAGCAGAAGCGCAGAACGTTATTTTGGTTATTCTTAAGACCTTAAATAACGTAATTCCACAGATTCAAAATATACATCGAGGCTTGACGTACATCAACGGTGGACCTTTGCAGATTGGGAAAACATTAACGAATATAGACTACGTACATACAAGACCTGCTGCGGCAGCATACTATGCACATTTAAGACTTCTTGGAGTAGTAACATTGCTGCATGCTTTTGTTTCATGTGGGCAAGCTTTATATAGGTCTAAAAAATATATGGATCAAATGAGTGAAACTCCCAATGAAATTGACAATAATAAATCATGTGTAGCTTGCTTAGAAGAAATTGTTCAGCCCTGTGTCTTACCATGTGGTCATATATTTTGTTTAAGCTGCTCATATGGGGCATTGGAAACCTGCCCATTATGCCGATCTCCCTTCACAAAAAATAGTGTTGTTCCTCTGATGAATTACTACCCAGAATAATGACAATTTTGTGGGGGTTAGGTTTTAATTTTCATAATAAATTTAGTCTACTTTTGTCTAGTGTTGCTGTGTGATGTGGCATTATTGTTATTTAATTTTGTAAGTCCAAATGTTTCCAGAAGCTCATACTAGCTCTCATTTAGTTTGCTGCCCAGGTATAAAGTAAAAGGTATCTTTCATTTGGAAATGCAGGATTGGATTCACTATGATATTTGAGAAAAATATTTTTTTTAATCATTCAAAACAATTTTGAAGTAAAAGTTGTTAACAAGAGGAATCTACCATTCATAAAATATCTGTGATAAATAAAATTAATTTATATATTTTGTTAAATTCTGAAATTTAAACTCCGACAAACATTTTGCTGCCGAATTAGTCGCAGACAGAATGTTTCTTTTATGAGTTGTTCAACGACAGAACCTTTGAAATACGAACAATTCGCCTACAAAACGTTTTATATAAGAAGTAATCAACGACAGAACCTTTCCGCTACGAACGTTTCGCCGACAGAACGATTCATTAATTAGTGAATCGACGACAGAATCTTACTTTGTATTATTAAATGAGATATGTGCGCCCAGACATACGGTTTTTATGTCCACATCATCAACTAAAAAAAAAGAGTCCCAACACTAGGGTAAATTCACACTATATGTATGCTTAAAAACTCACAGATTATTCTTTAAAAACACTATACACAACTTTAGGCCGGTAACAAATCAGGAACTAGTAGCGGAAAAACACAAAAACAATATTTAAATTGTTAGCATACGAAGGAACATGTGAACCGTACAGTCCCGGGAAGGGAAGTGTGAGAATGTGTCCTATAAACATAGAGTTAGTAGTCACAAACCTGTGTAGATTCTGTCGTCAATTCACTCATTCTTCTTCTTTTAATTCAGTGGCTTCATCGGATATCGATGATTTTGCCAACGGGAGGTAGATTTATTAGTTAGATTCACTCATTAATGAATCGTTCTGTCGGCGAAACGTCCGTATTTGAAAGGTTCTGCCGTTGAACAACTAAAACGAAACATTTGGCCACAACGCATTCGGCAACGAAATGTTCCTCGGAGTTTAATTTCAGAATCAATTTGTTATAACGGTTCTGGTAGGTTTTTAAACAAAATAAAACATTATTTTAAATAAAATCTTTTATTACATACATTATCAATAAATTAACATGTTAACATCCTTATAGTATTAGCAAAAGAGTTTATTCTAGCGACAAAATGTTAATGGCAATTATTTTCCCTAAAAATAGGAACATTTGTACTACGCCATTATAGTATTTCAACATAAACATAAAATTACAATACATAAAGATTAGTAAGTATATTAGGTACCAGCATGTAAGTAAAAGTCAAGTTAAATCTCAATGTCTCACTATTACTAGTAACACTTAAAATAATGGACATAAGAGATCTTTATTGTGTAGGTCTTACTTGACAGAGTAAGAATTATAATAAACCTCTAAGCAACAACAGATTTAGGCAACAAAAATTACCAGTGAGTAATTACCAGTGAACACTTGTATTTAAGGCATTTTATAGTAAATATATGTATCATATATTATGTTGTATAAGTTTTATTTGACACATTACAAACTAAACCAAATTTAATAAATGTAAAAATAATAGATAATCAATGAAAACATTGATCTATCTACCCAAGATTCAGAACTACCCGCTTTAGTATTTGTTTCTGGCAATTCAACCAAATGATTGAGTATTTTCTATATTGTATAGTTGAGAAAAGAGACCATATTTAAGTCACAAACCATTTTAACATTATGCAATGCTTCCTGGTACAACACTGTACCATCACCCATTCCCATTGAAGATACTGAAAAATACTGCTTAACATAAAACAATAATTATTAACATTGTATGAAGATTCTTGTAACAATAATTTAATACACAATTAATATCCGTCAAACTTAAAAAATCGATCGCTTCTTGTTATTTATTATTCAACCCTCAATAGCTCAACATCAAATATCAACGTTGAGTTTGGTGGTATGATGCCAGGATGTCCTCTAGATCCATAGGCAAAATCTGGTGAACATGTAAGTGTTGCACGTTCTCCTACTGACATCTGCAATAGTAAATTTAATTATATAAATTTGGAACATAAGTCCAATGTCTTTCAAATTAAAATTTTACATTTTGGCTATAAATGGGTTGGTATATATTGTGGTTTTACAGATTTAATATAATTCAAACAGGGCTATTAAGCCATGAACATAGCATGCTAATTTAATATTTTATTAAAATAACTTGTGTGTTAAATATAATTTTTTATTATTATTGACTTTATTCATCAGTTTTTTTGTATTATTATAATTTAACTTTTATTCATTATACCTACTACTCGCCACCAATCAGTCTTTGACCGAATATAATATAATTAACCAATCCCATATTTTTTAAGTTATCTTAAGTTATGCAAATTACTTTTTCATTATTTTTTTTTATTAGTTGTCTATTTTATAACAAAAAATTAGATCCTGATCAACATGAGCCATACCTTGAGTATTAGTTAAATAATAATAAATTTCCACATGTCACACACATTTGTCGGATCACAAACTCGGCAGAGCCTGTTCTATGATAACCGAACCACTGATTAAAATACTTTCATTTTTCTAAATATATACACGTTAGTGGTAAATTACATTTAGAACCAGAATGAAGTATTGTGCTTATCACACAAATGTTTGTCCAGGTTTGAAATCAAACCCACAACCTCTGGCTTAGCAGTCAGATTCACTAACCACTAGACGAAATACTAATGGTTTAGTTCTCATGCATCTTAAAAGATCTTTGCCTTGGTAATGGCCATGAATAGCAACTTAGACTGCCCCTTGAGAACTTGGCCTAACATTCCTCTATTTCATTTCAAAAAATGAGTTCACAAATTCTAGAAAATGAAAAAATTATAAGTTCAAGGTACTGTAAGGTGCCTTATTTTTAAAGTTAAATTATTTACAATTCAAGCATACATTACCCTGGTCAATCCTTGATCCCAACCCTTGATAACATCACCTCTGCCCAGTGTAAACTTAAAAGGCTGACCTCTGTCCCTTGAGGAGTCAAACTTTTTACCATTCTGTAGCGTTCCTGTGTAATGAACTACCACAGTTTGTCCAGGTTTTGGATATGTAGTGCCTAGAATTAAGACTTGGATTGTAAACAATGTTTAAGGTTATAAAAACAGAATATCAGAATATAGCGTTTATTCTGAAAAACCTACCGTCTCCAGGTGAAATGGTATCTACATCGACACCCATTTTAGGTACATAAAGCGAATCGTAGAAAATAAAGTATAAGGATAGAGAAGAATCTCAGAGCTACCGCAGTTTTTAAACTGACTAACACCACAGATAGATAGATGCGCCACTGAGGTTTGAAATTGATTAAAACGAGCGTACCCAAACACAGAGATGGCGCTGCGTTTCTTATACCTTGCACGCTAGATGGGTGAGGCAGAGTTAAATGATACATATTCAAAACTATTAAGTAAATACTTATTTACTCGTACTTTGCTTAGGCACAGTGATATAATCTTTCAGGTGCATTTCTGATGACAATTAAGTATTAACTCAGCAACAACCTCTTATTAAAGTAGTGTTAATTATCTACTTATAACAGATATTAAATATAAATCTCTGATTTTAAAACAATTAAAATATGAAGTTTGTTACAAACTTAAGACATAAATTAGTTATTTCGATATAAAAATGCGATATTTTTCTTTTAATTTATTTAAATTAGAAGTAAAATAATATTCAGTTAATTCCATAAAAAACGCATTTTTATGGAAATAACTGAATGCTATTTTTTTTAGAACAATCGCGCCTTAATACGCTTAACTATTTATTTTCAGCCAAAAGACTACTCTTATAAATTTTGCATAGGCACAATGATTTACAGGTACATTAATTTTTTTTATCGCAATAAGTTATTTTACTTTATGTGAGAAAAAAAACGAGAATATACTATTGAGATAGCTTACTCGAAAAGCACCTCGATAATGTTAGTTTGTGCTCATAAAATAAATATTAAAATACAATTCAGTTTTCAGCTTTTTTCATGTAAAGCTTTTTTTCATCTTTTTTTAAAAGACAACTACCGTACTAGGAATATATCCTGTGTCACGGGGGACTTCACAAACATACATGGAAACGGACGCCGTGTCAGACCCACAACACTCAGCGCAGTAGGAAGCGGCGAGGTGACCACTTAAACCACTACGCCATCCGTGCAGTCAGAAAAAATAATCCATATATAATACTAACACGTATTAGATATAGGGGCCACATATTGGCCTGGGGGTGACAGGTGAGGCCATCTGTCACCCTAGCAGAAGCAGGCTGGAGTGGCGACGAAACGCGCTGGCGAGTGCGCGCGCCCTTTAGGGAGTACAAAGGGAACATGGGGGTTCCCACACAGGAGGGGGTCATCTACACGCCGTGGACTGCCCGAGGTACGTCGAGGTACCAGGGATTTCCTTTCTAGGGTATACCTGGTTCCCTGGCTACTAGTACCCAAGATGGCGTGCGGTTTTTGGTTGGTTCATATCCAACATAACCACTGGTGGGTGGTATCAGAAGGGATTTCCGCAAAGACAAAAAAACAGGATGAAAATTGGAAGTATTTGCATGTTTTTTTTATAGCTAAAAAAATAAATAAAGAAATTATAACTGTAGAAAATTAGCATATTGAAGAAAGCACTTGAATAATTTAAAGTTTTCATTTCAACTAATCAACAAGCTTCACCTAACGGTAGTTGTGAATAATTTGTTTGAGTTTGAGCTCCAATTCATGGAGGTGGCAGAACTTTCGATGTAATTTTTTTGTGACGACAGATGTATGTTTCAGGGGCCTGCTAAAACTAAACACACATACACACAGTGTATTTAATAAGTTATATCAGACGCAGCAAAAACTAACGTTGACGTCATACATCGTTTACTCTGTGGTCTCTTACTGAACATCAAACGAGCAGACAGGCAATACGATCGATTTTAAAAAACGTAGGTTAGTTTCCTACGCTTTTTTTTAATTTTTAAAATGGATTTTACAAATCAAATATCTCTAGAGATGTGAAAATTTCACATCTGTTTAATAGAATGATACTTTATTTACTAAATTTTTGAGAGAATATACATGACTTTAATTCTCTAGATTATCGGTTTTCACTCAACTATTTTTAAAGATTATTCCTGTTTATGTTACTTATCACTGAACTCATTCATTTATGAACCGATTAGATTGTTTTTAGCTGAAACATCTAATGCGGATGGTCAGACCGACTGTGTTGTGGTACTACCTGTTTAGATAAATACACAGATAGGAAAAAGTTAATTATCATAATAAATTAATGACCAAAATCATATTTCTTCCGTCGCTCATCTCTTTAGAAACAATGTTATTATTATTTATATAGGAAAAGGAGTAAAGGTAAACGATTCCTTTTCTAGAGTCGGATTAATGAGTAATGTTTTAATGATGATGAATTCATTTAGTGGTTACATTGTTATGATTTTGTTGTGGAGCTGTAAATGAAGCCAGATTTGAGCCGACCAGCAATTTCTTATTTTCACTTCATGAAAAACTTTCTAGTAAGTATACAAGACTGTTTACTTTTTTGTTTATGTTATGTTATGTAAGAAAGTTAGTGTCAGACAGTCAGGGGGTTGTTTTAGTATTTAGTAGTCTAGTAGATATTTTTGTAACTCACTACTGAATGTGGTAGTCCAAAAGCTCAATATCATCATTTCTTATGACTTGATCTGCATGTTTTATACGTTTTGATATTTATTATTGTGGTACGCTTTAAAGTTACTAATTTAACAAATTAATTTTTCTACTGTTCCACTACTCCACATTTTCATAACATTTCAGCTAAAGGATTCGGACACTTTTCGCATTTTTTATACACTAGCTTAAAATCGTTATCGGGGTATCGAAGAGTGATCAATACCTGAATTGAGCTTATAACTGTTCCAAATACAGTTTTTAATGCTTATTAATGATCAAAATAGCTAGTAGAACAAATATGAATTATTTACAATACAAAATTCTTACACAACTTTGCTCATTGCATCTATCAGGGGCTATACTATATACTGTGACCAGTAGCTATGGTAAATGATTAAAATTGTTTATGATTTCGGGATTTTTAGCCAATCAGAAACATTTATTTTATAAACAATCAAAATAATCGACACTTCCTTCTTTTGACACATCAAACACATAGAAAACAGTTGAAATTGAATTTTGCGGTGATATCAATCAGTTCATAAGTTTTTTACCGTTCTTGTAAATATTTTATAACATTTGACTCAACACCTTGGATAACCTAAGATATTAGTATTTTTACGATAATAAAGAAAAATACGTTCATTCATAATCGTCTAGGAAGTAAATGTAATGGATATGGAAGTCGATAGCGTTGATAGTTATAGTAATGCTTCGGAAGGTGGAAAGTTCTCTCACTTAAAGTCTTTCGTAAATGCCGCAAGAGAATTTGAGGCTACTCACAGCGATTCTGCTGTGAATTTGATGACTAGATACTTAGGGGTGAGTACTTATTCTTAGTTCTATTCTCACCAATTTCATATTATATTTTTCATCAATATTGTTGTGGTGCTAACTAAAAGATTCTATTCATTTGTAGCTAATAGCTTCATCATGCGACTTATCAATTTTCTCACCTGGGAGATCGGAAGTCTGTGCCTTCTTCAGCTCACTATGGCGTGTTATGTGCGACGCACGAGGACCTCACTGGGCAGGAGTGGCTGTGCTATCCCGAGCATCTATTGAGCCCAGTGCCAGACATGCACTCACTCATACTTACAAGTCAGTTTATATTCATTTAAATACCAAGAAATACTGGCTTACAAGAGATAAAAAATGTGTACTGTTAATTATTAATATAAAGTTAGTTAGTTTAGGTTAGTTAGTGGTTTAGTTCAGATATCTTAAAATTGTACAAAAGCTATTGTAGATGACATTGCTCTTTAAATTCTTGTAATAAAATGTGTCATTTTTTTTTGTACAGGTTTATGCCAATATTGGCTCGTTTACTGACAGACTCTATATCCAATGACAAGAAAATTAAACTTCTTTCTGTAATGCAGGTTGGTATATGATTTTTTCGCTATTTATTTACATAAAATATTTGTAATATGTAATGCCACTTACTACAGTACTTTTCTGCAGTGGCATAGCAGGTAGATGTACCTGTATGTAGTAGTGGTTGTAGAGAAGAAGTAAAATATTCAAAGTTTTTCAATTTTAACACAAGAAGGACAGAAAGCAAGTAGTACTGATTTGTGTGTATAATAAAATGTATCTTTCTGTGTGAGACAGTATTTCTTAATATTTACTTCTTTTTATGTTCACTTTAAGATTCTCAACCAAAATGTACTGGTAGAGAATGCCTACGGCAGTAAGGCCGCCATTGTACATTTTCTGCATAAAGTTATTAAAAAATAATTAAAATACAAAAGTAATCATAAATCTAAAATATTAAACCCTTGTGCAATGTCAGTTTGTATATTGTGTTTTCATTATGTTACTGTTGAGCTGGAGAGATCAGTGCTTTGATCAGTAACAATGCCTTTAACTCCTTGAGCATATACCTTATTAGTCTATATAAATAAAACTACTGTACTTATGTAATTTTTTAACATTGTTTTTTTCCAATATAATAAAACATTTTTAAATCAAACAATTGCAATGTGTACTGGGTGCATCAAGTGTTTAACTAAAAAATATTTTTCTTTTGCAGGAGATATCTTATGGCATCAAAATTAGTTGGCAAGAGTCATACCTCTCTGGTCTAATGAAACAGCTTACAGAATGGATCACACAACCAATGTCAGATCCACAACATCGCACCATAGGTCATAGGTCTTTAACAGTACTTGTGAATGTGTGCTATGGAAACCTGCCAGCAATATATGCACTAATGAGGACTGTTGATACAAAGGAGTTTGTAATTCACCTTGTTAGTTTAAAGGTAACTATCTTTTTATTTTTTTAATATTCTATTTTTTTATTTTTTTAATATTCTACTACATTATTTTGTTACTCTCTCTTTGTTTTTTTTTATATGTAGTTATTTGCATTTGATGTTTAGTTAAGTGTGTTTATTTTAAAGTTTACAGATTATCATAAACAAGTAAGTTAGGTAGTGCAAAAGAATCCTAGTTGAAGTAAATAGTTTTCAATTTTATTTTTATGAATATTTTATGATGTCAATATCAAGGTAAAATAAATAGATCTAGAAATTTTATTTCAACCCTAACTCATCCCGTGGGTGTCGTAAGAGGCTACTAAGGGAGCAAACTATGCAGGACAACAGCAATGCAGAGAGAAGGAAAACTTGACACAAACCCTAGACCAACCTGACAGGCCAGCGTGGTATAGTAGGCTAAAACCTCCCTTCTAATGAGAGGCCTATGTCCAGCAGTGGACTATTAAAGGCTGTTGATGATAAACTGTTAACTACCTGGAATTCATGATGCCTAATTGGTCTTCAACTGTTAATATGATAATTAAATAATTACATTCCTTTTATACATATTACAGGAGGGTGGTTACGGTGGCGTGGAGGTGTGCAGATTGCTCTTGTGTCTGTCAGGAGCGACAAGAGGTGCGGCGGCAACGAGACAGCCTGATGTACACAGCTACTTATGTTGCACTATGCGTACCTTTCATAAGGCTGTCAGGTTAGTTAAATTACGATGACCCTTGCTTTAAACTTTTTCTTGCTTACGTTCCTTTACTTTCTTTCAAAGTGGTTACCATTCAAAAAGGTTCAATCCTGAGGGTCACAGTCAATATAAAATAAATTTGCACTAAGCCCCTAGATAGATAAAAAAACTGGTATTTATACATAATGTGAGACGTGGAGGGATGATTGATCCCTTCATGTCCTTCTAACAAGTAATCTACCTTGTCAAAGTTAGATGTAATCATAAAGACGACGACAGGTAAGGGTTGTTGGCCTTCTACCTTTATAATAAGTATTCTACCTTTGTAAGAAAATGATATCTAACTCTGAAAATTGTAAAATATTAATTAATAATAATAATAATAATATTCTACCACATTCACACAACGCCATCTAGTCCCAAACTAAGCAGAGCTTGTACTATGGGTACTAGATAACTGATATAAATACATATATACTTTTTTTTTTTTGTAAATACATACTTATTATACATAGAAACACCCAGACCAAATCAAACATTAAATGTTCATGCACACAAATGTTTGACTTGAGCGGGAATCGAACCCGCGACCTTTGGAATAGCAGTCCGTTACACAAACCACTACGCCATTCGGTCGTCAATTTAACAACAATTTTGTTATATTCCAGTGAAAAAGATGCAACACAGCTACTTCATGCGTACACATTTATCAACGACTTGTGTACTGACAGTAATTTAAGGGGCTTTGTGCTATCATATCCGAACTTTGCTACTGCTCTAAATGAAGTGCTTAAGGTAATGTACTTGTTCCCACATATACAATAAAAACATATTTTAATGACATCTAACGAAAACAAGCCGAACTACGCAGTATCTATTAATCCTATATCGCACAGCAAAAACCTCAGCATATGATCAACTCTCAAATATCAAGAATGGGTTACGGTCCGACAGGCATGATCACGGCGATCTTGTCTACCCCGGTAATCGAGTATCGCTATTTTTATATTACTAAGGTCTAAACGTCGGTCTAACTAAAGTTGACAAACTAACATAAGCTTAATCTGACCGAAAGGCCTTTTTTCTATTGTTTCGGCTAAATGGTGTTCAATGTGTTAATACTGTTTTACATCATTTATAGATTTGGATCACTTTCTTCAACTTGTGTATTCATTTTCTTTCTAAAATGGTGGAAAGGAGTAAGACTTTTTTTAGAGATCAGAATGTTCTGAATATAATATTTTAAATTCCAATATATTTTAAATAGACATTATCAAGTAAAAATAAAAAAACAGATCTTAAAATTAAGGCCAGTTTTTAAGGAATAGAAAATTAACTTTTACGCGAGCTTGACTGCAGGCAAAACTTAGTTAAACGAAATGTGTTATAATTTCAGGAAATAGACGAAGTGTGCCAATGTACAATTAATGAACTTGGAGACCCCGACACTTTGCCCACTTGCTTGCAGAACATTCTCAAGTTTCTTACGGTGCTTGTCAATTTAGGTAACTAATTCTCATTAGTTTTATTGGAAAAGATTTTTACTGTTTACAGGTTATGTTTTTCGAGTTTATGTAATATGTGTATACAGGGTGTAAGGCACAAGGTCTCATAGATCGCACAAAAACGTTTTTCTGGGGATACTCACGATGCAAAAGTCAGTTCATCATAAAAATGAAAGATAAAGGATTTACAGTGATTAGTTTTATTTTGCGCTACGCAACGTACAGTTCCTGACGTAATGTATCGCTGCAGTCCCGTAACTCGCGGGCGTTAACATAACTAATAACTACCTACATTACGTACCTACTTGAGTTTGTAGACACGGTGACGTGTCTACAAACTCAGGTCGTTGGTGCTCATGTCATAACTTAATAGATAAAAGTCGCTGAATCGCAACCAAACATTTTATTTAGTATTATCTAATCTAAACTATGGTTCAGTCCTATTTTGAAATCGCTGCTTTGTAAATTTTAAGTACCTAATATTCCTACACAGTCGGTTTTTGTTTTATTTAGTAGGTTTAATTTGACTTGAAGAAAGAATTCGGGACCATATTATTTAATAAATACACAATTGTCTGTTTGATTTCAGATCTCTATTCATTAAGATGTCATCATGGTGCTTTGGTAAACCTGTGTATGAAAGCTAGCCGGATCTGTCTACCAGAGTCCTTAGAATTATTCGCCGCTATTGTACTACAATATAAAGGTTAGTAATCAATTGTCTCACATTACATCAACAGCCTTTAATAGCCCAATACTGAACACAGGCCTCTCCTTAGAAAGAAGGTTTTGGCCTACTATACCATGCTGGCTTGATAGGTGTGTATAGGGTTTTTTTCAAGTCACACGAAAAAATATTCATGTTTTTTTTATCAGTAATATATTACAGTTATGTTAAAATTATTTTGCAGATGAAGGCGTTCTCCCAAAAGATTTAATATCAACATTGAGTGATGGACTTCCAGGTTTATTGGTTCCGCCATCTTTAGAACCAGGCAAAGCTGGATTACAATGGGTATGCTATAAAAATTTATACTATGTTGCACTGTTTTTAGAACTTTTTAAATGTATAATCTTATTACCTGATAGGTAAGAGATATTAGGTCTATATGTACTTATGAAGTTGAAGATTTGTATGTTAATTTTAAAATATAAAAATTTTGGTTATTTTCTATTTTGGCTGATCAAAGTACTGGCCTAAAGCATCAATACCATTTTGCCATTTTCATGGCAGTTAGTTTATCCCTTTACTTTTGCCATCATCGTTTGCAATTCTTGGTAGTAGACATCTGCCGTCACTGTTGTGCCATTTGGTAAGAAGCTGTGATATCCGGCACTGATGGAATTGCGCACTAATCCACAGATAATCAAAGCTGAAAATGCTTGGAAATGGTTTTAAAAATCTCCGACTTCACTGGCAAAGACCTATTATTTCCTAAATTTCTTTTTTTTTATGCCATAACAGGGCAAACGAGCAGACGGGTCACCTGATGGTAAGCAACTACCGCCGCCCATGGACACCTGCAACTCAAAAGTCACAAGTGGGTTGCCGCCCTTGGAGTTCCTTCCGCTCGAGTCAGGGGAGGGAGGGGGGATTTGGGCTCCGGTAACCTCACTCACATAGATGGATGTAAGCAATAGCTCGGGCAGTTCTGGGTCGAGAGGGATACCGGTTAGAGTGACATGAAAATTAATGATTATATAATTTGGGAGAGCCATACTTCAGCACTAATGGGCCGGCTACTACTGTGTGACTACTTACTGTGAGGCCGTGGTATTATTCCGGTCATGATACCACGGCCTCACAGTAAACCGCCGCTAAGCAATTCTTTCGCTGATTTTCCCTGACTCCAATGGGGAGGGGCTCAAAGCGCTGCAACACACGTATGACTCTTGAGTTGCAGTAGTTACGTACCATCAGATGACACAAGATGGTGATAAAAAAATTAGTGACTTAAAAATATATCATCGAACAATGTGTTTTTCTAGTTACAAGTAGTGGGAGCTCTATGCGAATCGAGCGAAACGCAAGAACGAGTGTTACAAGAAGTCACACCAGGTGCTTTTGAAGACACACTATACAGTGTACTGCAGTATACTTCACAGGTAAATAATGAGCATAAATAAAAGGATGAAAAGTATTATAGTATTGACTTTAGGCTAAATTTTAGAAACAAAAACAACGCTTTCTTCAGCAATATTTGTACAAGAGTGCACGCAATAGCCGCTGCAGGCGGCAAGATAATAAAACACGAATTTGTTGACAAAACATCTATAGAAATAAATTTTCATTGTGTTTTTTTAAGACAACTTCCACAATAATATATACTGTGTCGCGGAGTACTTTACAACATCAATTAAAGGACACAAAGAACACCCTGACGCAGAACCATGATTTGTGGATCACATGTCCCATATGGGGATTGAACCCACAACACATTACACACTATCCAATACACCTTCATTGTGATCATCATCTCAGCCGAAAGACTTCCACTGCTGGACATAAGGGTCCCCAAGTCTCTCTACAACAACTGGATATAAGAACAGACTTATTAGAATTTATTTATTTAACAGCTATCATACTTCCTTTGTTGTATCCCTAAATATGTGTAAGTAAAATTTTATTTTGTATCACACAAGTAAAAGTTACGTATATTATGAGTCATTCTCGTCATTTTATGCTACCGCTAACTTTAAGATGTACGTTATAAACTGTGATTCTGATGAAAATTTGCGCTCCAGAATGGAGTGGTAGGTGTAGAATCATCCCAGCAGGCTGTAGTGGTGGGATGTCGGACGGCGCTGACGCTAGCTCCCCTAGAGAGGCATTGGGAAGCCGCGCTTGCCCGGATGCTGGCTCATCATCAAGTAAGCAATGGCCTTTTGAAACTGATTTTTTAATTATTTTTAATTGGACAGTTTCTCGATACTTACCGACATTGCGGCAACTCGATGCTGAATTATTAAAAAATCGATCGTTAGCTTTCGTACGTCTTTGGATATTGTAGGGTGTACGTAACGATATCTTAAAATTTGATTTGTTACGATTCAGCTGTAAAATTTATATATTTTAATGTACAGGTTCGAAAATTACTATGTGCTGGATTAACAAGTAACAATGGCGCTCGAAGAAGACAAATACTGCAACTCGTGAAACATCATTATTTTCCGCCCGACCAGATGAACCAGGTTCGTATGAAAATATTTATCGCGAATAAGTTCCGAGTTTTGTTATCGAACAATATCGATTACGATATGAATTATACGCTACTAGGAAAAAGCACGGTACTGGTACGGTAAGTACGGTGGTAATCCCGAGACGGGGTAGTGTCGTGCTGACATCTATCGAAAAGAAGAGAAACTGATTCGACTGAACTGTTAATTTTCGAATATTTTACACGCTTTGATCGTAAGCTAATGTGTCTCGCCTGCCGCTGCACGTTTCTACATGCAGCTGCGGGCGGTCTAGATTAAATTCAGTAAGATCGCCATTCGTGTCGCTTAGGTGTTCGGCGAATCTCTCCAAGGCATAGCGGAGGCGGAGGCCCCGCAGGCGGCGGGCGGGGCCGGGGGCGGCGGGGGGCGGTGCGGCGGCGCGTGCGGGGAGGGCGCGTGGGGGGGCGCCAGCGCCGCGCCGCACCAGGAGCGCGCCATCGACGCGCTCGTCGCGCGCCTCACCGACGCGCTCCGCGACGGGAAGGTACCGCACACTACACTCTCTTCTAAATCATATTTTTTTGAAAAAATGCAGCATGAAAGGTTCAAAACCAGTAAAAACCGACCCACGAGCCGGGCGGTATAAAAACAAACGCGATATAGTTTATATCACGTAACATTTGTCTAAATGACTTTGATTTAATGCAACATTTTCTAGTGCCAATTATTTCTGGAGCATCTAAATAAAAAATATATTTGATGTGAACCGACTTTCCTCCCATTTCCTGCATCTGTGGGAGTGACTTCTTGAATAGGGACAGATATATGTATCCGAAAACCACTTGCCGTTTTCGCTGTGCTCATTAGTGCACTTTCACTAGGCGCGCGCAGTGCTAGATGTCAGTTACACATATTGTATTCGTTTTTATTAAATTAAATTTGTTGTGAAGTGTAACAGTAGAAATCAGTCAGTTCCAATACCAGCTACTTAACCCCTCTCTTTATCCTCTGAAAGGTTCTAGTTCCATAAAACACATTTTATTTAACAGGTATCGGACATCGCGACTTCAAGTGTAATGGAGTTATACGGATACAAAATGACGTGTTTAGAGCAGAGGTTACATTCACACTCTGTTGCGCTACAGGTAATAATCAAGAATTTATATCTATTAATATTAATAAATTTTATTTTGAATTAATTCCGATAAATAGTCACAACGCTAGTACCTGACTGAGTATTTATATATTTTATTAAGTTTATGTATGTATGTTTGTTTATATATTGTGTATGTCTCTGGACTTCAATTATGTTAAATTTAATATTTTATTTTGCACCTACCGCATCATATTTCTACATCACCTGAAGTTTGACTGGGAGAGAATGCCTAATGGCATTAAGTCCGCCCTTGTACAACATGTGCATTAAGTTTAAAATAAATAAATAAAAATAATTTGCAGTTCAGTACAGCTTACTTAAAACCGTATTCATATTTTTTTTTATAAAAAATACCTGAAACTGTAGTTGTAGTTCTAAAACCTACTACAATCCTAACAATATTTATATATGTATATACTTGATAAAATACACTTCATTAATGGTCGTGGGTTGAATTCCAATGTAGGGCAAAAATAATGAGTGTAGTATATCTATAATATGTATGTGTTTAGAAATATATAAGTATGTCCATGAGTAGTATGGTGAACATAGCACGGGTTCAGCCTAGTTTGATATTGGACAGCCGTGTGTGACAGTTTGAAATTATAATTTACGTAACCTGTCGTGAGAAAGAAGGCAGTTAAATAATATTCCCTTTAATTTTTCGTACAAAAAGGCATTAGAAATAAATGTTATACAAATGTATTTCGGTTTATTAAATTATTAATTTAAGTGTCTATTGGTATCTATTTATTAATTTACAAGAACTGAAAGTGTTGGTTTCAGCTTTATTTATAAAGCTTTATTTAAAATTTATAAAGCTCCTCTAGGATAATATTTAAATTCAACAGTGGTACAACCATATTTTTCAACCCTTTTTATTTCAAATAGGCTCCATGTTTAACCTTTTTTCTAGGCACCTTATTATAACAGAATCTCTTTACAGAAATGGTTTACATAATTTTTCTCAATTGAGTCTTATATTATTTAAATCACGATTTCTTCTTTTCTTCATATAATTCAACCAATGCGTCCTGGACGAGGTTTTGAATAAAACCAACAAAGTTTGAAATACCAATCGATGTGTGAAAATGAAATCTGTTGCATTCAAGAACCAGTTGTCAGCAATAATTAGTAGTAAAAATAATTGCCCTATAAGTACTATGTCACATACAAGCGCTATTCCAATCAAAGACAATATGTGATTTATTTTTCTGTTAGACATTCTCCTTCGACAACACGCCATTACAGACACTACAATCCTAACAAACACCATTAAAATTAATGTCATTATTATTACAATTATCCAAATCAGCACTAAAAATGAAGAAATACTTGGTTCTTGACATAACACACTCAAAATAATTGTGATTCCTTTAATAAGAATAACAGTTAGGTACGTAAACACAGTCACCTGTCTCTTTTCATAGCTCATTTTCCCGCTATACAGTAGGACAAGTCTTATATATGCAATTGTGATGTAAGAAAGAGACCAACATATATTTGTAATGAATAAGTATCCCATAATTAGTTCGAGTTCTTCGCTTATTTCCTTAAATATGATACTTGTGATCACAAAACAGTTCAAATGTAGCGTGCCGATAATAATTTGGTTGAGGCTTATGTAGTTAAGGAGAGTCCTCCATTTCGGTATAAAACACCAAGTTGTCACTAATACTATAACACAAACTAATGACAATACACACCCTTGGTAGATCAGATACTCTTCAATACTGAAATCCATAGTTTTTAATATGTTCAACTTTCTATAACAACAACGCAAAACTTTGCTAGTTATTTTTTTGTATGTAAATGGTAAATTATCAGAATTGTGTATCATATATTTGTTTAATTAATTATGCTAATTAGTATGTATAGGGAACTAATGGGAGTGGGATAATCATTGCTCACGGAATGTTAGTTAGGGTCAGTCGTACTGGAAGCCAAAGGTCTTATCAGTATAGTGTTATAACAGTTTTATACCTTTATGTTACTTAGTTGCCAGAAAATGTGATATATATATATAATATATGTTTATTATATTTGATGAAGAATGTTCCCTAGTTTTAAGACAAGTTTTATTACAACTTTTCTACTGCAAATTTTGATTAAAAAAAAGTACAACAACAACAAGACAAACAACAGAGTTCAGAGATAACAAACATAAAAAAAAATTACAGTTTAATTAAAACCTCATTCTTCAGAGTCATCCCTCAAATCTTCAGAGTCAACATATACTGCCAAATAAGTAATAGAGGTTAATTAATAGCCTATTTGTCCCCATTATGAGTCTAGCTATTATATTTAACAAGGTTTTTAATTAAACAGGGTGCGAGCGAACACATGGCTTCCTTACAACATTCGTTGGCTATGCTTCAAGCCACCAACTCATCACAACAAGACGTCTTGTACACTACACAAATGCAAAATGAAAGGTAATAATATGATATGAATCAATAATGGAAATTTAATTTAAAGAATATTGGTTGTTGACTGTTGGTGTAATGGTTACCGATCCTGTCTGCTAAGCCGGTCGTGTGTTCGATTCCCACCCGAGATGAATATTGTGTGACAAACATGATCATTTGTTCTGTGTCTGGGTTTAAATTTATTTATAATATATCGAAATATATAAGTATATTTATTAAGAAATCCCCCGTTACGTAAAGGCCTAAAAAATGTCGGCGTTTAATCTGCATTTGCCTACGTGAGCGTATGTAAATAAGATGAAGAAGAAGAAAGATAATTAAGAGCTTAATAATAATCGAGCCATTACGATCACAGACGATGTTGCATGAGCAAGTTTTTATAGTACGTAATACAGTTTCGACATAGGCATAAAATATAATTGTTTTTTTATAGATAAATGGCACATTGAATGATAAGAACAATCAATTTGTCAATGTATGTATAAGCATCGGTGGTTCAGTGGTAGAATGCTCGCCTGCCACGCGGGCGGCCCGGGTTCGATTCCCGGCCGATGCAAGCTCTTTTTGTACTTTTTATTTTTGTATAGTTTCTTTTCTTGCATAAGTTTGAAAAATACAGTTCATTAAATTAACTTAGATACAATTTTTATTCATTTATTAAAAAATATTTTTCTTTTCTTATCTTCATTAGGCATAAGAAAACTATTGAAGATCTTCATAAACAACTGGAAGATGCCGAAACTACGTTGCGAGGGTTCCGCGCAAAATTGGCCGCAGAGAAAGTGGATAAAGAAAACCAAAAGGAAATTTTACACAAAGAGTTTCGCGCACAGATGGCGGTATGTAAAAGACCACCGAAAACTTACTTAAAAAAAAGTAAAACAAAAAAACTCTGTGTTTACAAATACAAATACTATTCTAAATCAAACTTTTTTTTCTTCATGTCTGTATCTTATGAAAAAAAAAAGTAAGTAAACCTTGTAGCATGTATTTATGGTAGAAGTTTTAAACGGTATTTACTAACCCTTACAATTTTTGAATTAGACTTCTCACACAATTACGGATGCAAAAAGTTATCAACTCAGTCCGAAATATTTTCGTACTCAGTGACGACTCTATGACGGCTCCGGTGGGCAAAATGCCTTATAAGCATTTAATTTTATTAATGTATACTGGTGTGTTTATCAGAATTAAGTTTTTTTTATTAATTTAGAGTATGGAGAATGAAATGAAACTCCGCGAGAAAGAGACTGAAGAACGACTGAAAGCCGCTGACGCGGAATATAAAGCACTTCAAAAGAAACTGGATCAACAGGTGAGAATTTTTAATCAATAAAACTTAATGAAATCAAGCGTTCCACAATTTCGAGAGATTTTAATAGTTCATACAATACATAGTTATACTATAGAGGTGAAGGTGATATTAGGCGGTTGAATGTGCGTGAGAAAGAGATGCTGCAGCACAAATGGGTCAACTCGACCAAAGTGATACCACGGCGTTACAGAAAACACGTGTTAAGGAATTATTTCTTTACTTAATATGTTTGCCCAAACGGCAAGTTTCCCCCCACTCCCTCATTATTAAGGGGTGGGGAAGAATTGAAACTTAACGGTTGATAACGCACTTATGACTTAGAGTTACAGATGACAATGGGCGGCGGTAGTCATTTATGGCCCAAGTATGAGTTTATTTCACATGTACTCGATCGTCACGGGTGACCGCGTTGAGCGCTGCGATTGGCCCCAATTGAAATCTTAACCAATCCCAACGCCGAACGCGCACGCTGTTGAGAGTGAGTCGTTGTGAAATAAACTTGCACTAGGCCCTCTGGTGACCCGTCTACTCCTTTGCCCTTGAAAAATGTGTTAATAACACATTCCGAACCTATACCTACCTACGAATACTTTTTCTGTGAAGTGGTTAGGTTTGCCACCTGACTATTACAATCTGGCAATCCTATTGTTCTTTTCTCAACAGGCAACCAAGAACAGCGAGTTGGCTTGTGTTTTAATTAAATTCGAGGAGCGAGTGAAGCAACGTGACAAGAAGTTAGAGGAGGCGGTCGCTAGCGATGCTGCACTGAAGAAAGAGATCGAACATAAAGAGAGCGTATGTATTTTTTTCTTTAAAAAATGAAAATATTAAGATTGTTTAGCTCTTTGATGCAGTGGGATAAGTTTGTACGTCTGTGTGTTTGCGATCCTGGGTTCGTTTCCTGGTTTGGAGATAGTATTATCAGTTCGGTTTACTCCTATTCTACTTTCCTAACAGCATAGAATTTAGTATGTTATATACATGTATGTAGGATGTTGTATATATTAACAGATTCTTTGTTCAGACGGTCATTATTCTTTATTGAATAATGATGTAAATTTTAAGAGCTTCAGGCTTTTATTTTCTCCTTCGCCTTCTTACGTCAGTCTCATTTACCAAATTTTATGACGTGTAAATGATAATTTCATTTTACTCCTTTACAGACAATAAAACAACTGGAAAAGACAGTTCTTGAGCGTGAAAATCGCTTGTACCAGCTGACAACGCAACTGGAAGAAATGAAACGAGTTCAAGAAATGGTTGCCAAACTGATGAGCAAGAGCGCCTCCAGCAACATACAGAGCTAATGACTATAGGTAATCTATACGCACCTATCACCTTTTTTTTTTGTTGACGTGGTGGAAAATCCCTACGGATCTCCTGCTCCTCGGGGACTATGAGCCAGGAGTATGTGGTGATTCCACTAAAAACCACCCTGACGGCCCTCCTCAGGTGTCCTACTCTGGGGAGGACCCGGACCATGTTATTTCAGGTCCTCCCCGAATTGACACAATGCCTAATCAGGCCCTATCCCACCTATCACCTAATTTTAAGATAGATATTTACCTTTATATTATAGATCGGTGTACTTGTGATATCCCTTCAGCCGCCATCGAAACCGATGACTCGTAACCAGTTGAGGAGGAGGAAAAAATGATCTTTGTACGGAACCAGTTTCGAACCAGGATTATTTGCTCTTTTTAGGAAACCGTCTAGTTACTAAGACGTATGTACACAAACTCATGGTTCCTGAAATACTGACCAGTTACAATTATTTATTAATGAATGTCTAATACTATCTGTCTTTTATGCTTGTCCCTTGAAAATGGTTACCTATTTAGATACAAAAAACTTAAAAAACGAAACTATTAAATATAAATTCCTAGTACGTAACTGTGGTTTCGTAAAAAGAAAAAACAATCCTGGTTCGAAACTGGTTTCGTACAAAAATCCGTTTTTCCTCCTCTTCTACTGATTACGATCCATCGATTTCAATGGGGGCCGAAGGGTGTGATATTACTAGTTTTTCCTCTGGACTTCGTGTCCGTTAAAGTTATTTTTCGAACCCCCGGGAACAGTTGTACTCTTGTATTGGCCGCTACAAATCTATATCCTTTTCTATCCAAATTATTCTCTACTCACTACGTTTAAGCAGTAAAGGAATAAAAGTTAAGTTATTTAAAGGGTATTTTTTTTAATTTTTTTCTCATGTGCAATTTTTTCCAGATACCTGACGTCAGCGAGCAGAAGCACAGATCTCACAAACGGCCTATGCATTGAAATATAGATTATAATATTTTGTATTAATATTTTTCCCATCATGATACATTTTATTAATATTTTACATGAATTTTTCATATTGAGTATATGAATGGTGAATTGTGAGCAATAATGAAATTAAAATTGATAATGTTTATTGTATAGTTATTTTAGTGTCGGACTAATAAAGTTATGTATGATAATATATTGCAGTTTTTTAATAGCCACTCGACATATCTTACACACATCGTCAGATACCAAATCAGGTAGAGCCAGTGCTATGGCAACCAGACTGCTGAAAAACATACAATATTTCTAAATACATGTTAAAGATAATTTTTACGCCCAGACATAACAAAGAATGTTATTTATCCTGTCTGGTAATCGAATTAACAGCTTCTGGCTCGGCAGTCAGGATCATTATCCGCTATACCAACAGTCAAGTCAGTGTTTTATCATGTTTTAATTTACCTTATATTTCGACTATTATAGATTTCAGACACAAATTGACTTAATTCTTTACTTGTCTGCGTTTACAACTGGGAGGTTAAAATACAGTGTGTAGGGTTATAGCATTATGTTTGATTGAATATTATTGATAGTTATTAGAAAGGTTCTTCAGCGTATATAGTCCGTGTAAGAAATAATATATATAAGTCATCACATTGAGACAAAATTGCCCTGTATACCTAGTCCTAACTTTTAAAAAAATATTACTTGTTTCATTGCACATAAGCTATATTCTTCATCCCTTAATTTTCACCCAAAGAGGCAGAATTTTTTCTATTATTTTTTAAGCTATTGCATAGCTTCTATCGCGGGCCTTGAGCGTGGAGACCGAATCCAGAAATTCCGTAACGAAAAAAACCTTGTTAGGTTATTTTCGTTACGGAATTTCTGGATTCACTCCGACCGGCCTTTAGTTTTGCCATCTATCGATGAATAGCAGAACTTTTTTTAAGGTAGGATGTTCCTTTGACATGACAAAGGGGGAGACCAGTTTTTTTTTTTCAAAAAAGGAGGAGGTTCTATGTTCCACTGTATGTATTTTTTTTTTTATGTATGTTCATCAAATACTTCGTCAATTGTGAACCGATTTTCAAAATTCTTTTTGTAATGGAAAGGGTATGCTCCCGAATTGGTCCCATTACCACCAATTGAGGATCTCATGATGGAATCTTAGAGAAATCGAGGGAAACCCTCACAATTATTGGGAATTTGACAGCCCCGACACCGTGTTTTAGCTACGAGTATTTCTTTAGCGAAACAAACCATGGCAACCGTCAGAGACTGCGCGTTGTGATGCGCAGAGAACTTGCAGTACTTATGTCCCCACAGTAATTTTCGTTGTATTAAGAAGAAAAGGTTGAAATTTTGTATTCTATCTTGTTAAAATAATTCGGATAGACGTTTTGTTGCTATGGATGGCATCGCATTTCGTTTGTAAGTAATTTTATACTTAATTTATTAAAATAGTTCTGGAAAAGACTCTTAAATTTTGTGTGGGTCAACTTTCTAAGGAGAGGCCTATGTCCAGCAGTAATTTAATATAATCTATACTAATATTATAAAGCTGAAGAGTTTGTTTGTTTGTTTGTTTGTTTGAACGCGCTAATCTCAGGAACTACTGGTCCGATTTGAAAAATTCTTTCAGTGTTAGATAGCCCATTTATCGAGGAAGGCTATAGGCTATATATCATCACGCTAAGACCAATAGGAGCGGAGCACCAATGAAGAATGTTTCAAAAACGGAGAAAATTTATTACTATTGAGAGACGCAGACGAAGTTGCGCGGGTCAGCTAGTATTTAATATAATCTAACAAACTACAGTTTGTTACTATACATTACGGTACGTAGTGTTTTAAATATCGTACTTATCTACTCATTACAAACATATCCTACACTTAAAATGGTAAAATAAACCCTTTTAAAAAAAAAGTTGAACCGACTTCAAACAACACTGACAAAGAGCACTAAAAATTAAAAAATAATTACAAATCTTAGTAAAAAACTATAATAAGTACCCTCAAAGTAACAGGTAACATTATAATACCAATAGTCCCTTCTAGTCTGTTTGAAGTCGGTGCCAAGCTCGATGCACAATAAGTAATACTGGTTTATGTCAGCTTTATATTAGCACAATGAAAAATTAAGAATTCAAAATAATTCTAATGAAACATCGAAGATTTTGTTAATTAATAAAGACCAACCAGATAAATTACGTGCGCAAACTTGTCAACTACTTTTTAAAGCATTCAAAATAATAATATAATTGGAGATGTGCGTCCACTTTAGCTCGTTCAACATGTTTTGCGCAGCATGAAGACTGTTGCAGCTGCCGCGCTACATTCTACCATGCCTATCAAGCACCTATTTGGCTTGGCACCGACTTCAAACAGACTAGAAGGGACTATTGGTATTATAATGTTACCTGTTACATTGAGGGTACTTATTATAGTTTTTTACTAAGATTTGTAATTATTTTTAAATTTTTAGTGCTCTTTGTCAGTGTTGTTTGAAGTCGGTTCAACTTTTTTTTTAAAAGGGTTTATTATGAATGTAATAGCATCCACATACAATACCCCCACCACCAAAAATTTTATAATTGCATTGAGGTCCCTTCAAAATACCTCCCTTTCTCTCCCCTCCACTTTTTTCATTTATCTCCCCTTTGATTTTCTCGGTACCTGGAGCACTTGGACTCCCATGTTTGGGTTTGTCTGAACCCGGAAAAGGAGACGAACAATCTGGCCCCTACAGATTTTTTTTGAAAAGTATCGTAACATGTAGCAACGCTTCAGTCTGTTTTTCTAAAGAGGGGCGAGGGGGGGGGGATTTTCGAGGGATGACTTATTTTTTTATGATTGCATTGAGGTCCGCACAAAATACCTCCCCCTCACCCTTCAACTTTTTTCATTTATCCCCCCTTTGATTTTCTCGGTTCCTGAAGCACTTGGAAACCCCATGTTTGGGTTCGTCTGAACCGGGAAAAGGAGACGAACAATCTGGCCCCTACAGATTTTTTAGCTGGTACCCGCGACTTTGTTCGTGTGGAATTTGAAAACACTGCCTTAGTGGGTTCGATGCCGGAGCCGGACAAAATTCTATAGGGTCTTCCTAAGATAATTATTTAATACTAGCGGTACCCGCGACTTCGTTCGCGTGGAATTTGAAAACGCTGCCTTACTGGGTTCGATTCCCGGCCGGGCAAATTTCTATAGGGTTTTCCTGAGATAATTTTTTAATACTAAGTTGATAAAAAATGATATGCAATAGCTTTACCGCGGCAGTCTTCGAGTGCCACACGTCTTTTTTTTATTATAAATAACATCTGACACAACGCCATCTACTATACACACTATTATACATAGAAAACACTCAAACTCCGAAAAAAATATTTAAGGTCGTAGAAACATTTGGTCCGACCCGGGAATCGAACTCGAAACCTCAGATCAGTAGTTGCACACGCTTTCAATGCACCACCGAGGCAGTCAATTCAATTGTGACCAATGACCCTTGCTGGGCCAAATAAATAAACATTCTAGCAGTTAATTAATCTTTACATATTTATCACCATCTTTACATATTTATCGCATCACCGGTATAGCCAGTTGTTTTCTATCTTAGTGGCATCTTAATCAGAGGAATTATATACATTTATATCACCTGGGCATCCTCAAGCAACTTCCTACTAACCAGAGTATAATATCTTACTGAAAAAAAAAGCCGTGTGGTGTCGTGGGACACCCGATAGGAACGAAGTTGTAACGATCGAGTAAAACTGATTCGGCACATTTTAATTACAACGCCATCTATGAAAGCGGCTATTACCTATATATTTTTCAGTTGGTTTCTAATTAAAACAATTTATACATTGGTAAAATCTCCTTGAGAAATGATTTCCTATCTATTCGATAGATGGCGCTGAATAACTGACATAAAAAGATAGAAATGAAAATATCTGGCTTGCTTTCTATAAGAGAGAGAGAGACAGACAGAGATACATGCGACGCCGCAGAGCTTACAATAGCTTACTATAGCAAAAAGTGTCGTGACCAATTTTCGTAAGATTTTTTTCCGTCTAGCCCCCTTTCACAACGCGCGATAAGGAACTTCGTTCCAAAAGGGGCTATCTATAAATTAAAAGTAGTTCAGAAAATTTGCTAACATATTTAACAAATTCCGTTTACGTTTATTCACAGTACCGCTAACCTAACCGCCTTTAGCCTTTGAATAGATACGGTGGTTGTATCACAGATGTATAATAGTTACGTGCGGCCGCCTGTTCCATACTATTCCTACTGAGATATGGGATACCTCGAAGAAAAGTGTTAATTATGTTTGAGTTTTTGCTTTAAATTTAAATATATACTAGTAATGTAAGTGGTCTTCATTCTGTATGTTTCCTTGAAGTAATATAGAGAAAGTTGTAATAGACAAAAGTAATATACCGCCAAGCATACCTATCGCTTACCTACTTATAGTAACTAACACATGGGCTAAAAAGTCCCGGGCCTAACAAAGAAAACACAGTTTTTTTTTTCAAAATTAGCTTTAATCATCAACGTAATCTCCATCAAGAGCAACGCAATCATTCCAGCGCCGCTCTAACATTTCAATACCACTTTTGTAGAACGATTTATCTTTTGCCTCAAAATAGGCCTCAGTTTTAGCGATAACCTCTCCATTCGTGCGAAATTTCTTACCGGCGAGCATTTTTTTTTCAGGTCTGCGAACAGCCAATAGTCGCTGGGAGCCAAATCTGGCGAATACGGTGGATGTGGGAGCAATTCGAAGTTCAATTCATGTAGTTTTGCCATTGTTTTGATTGACTTGTGACACGGTGCGTTGTCTTGATGAAACAAAATTTTTTTCTTTGCCATATGCGGTCGTTTCCTTGCAATTTCGGCCTTTAAACGCTCAAATAACGCTATATAATATTCACTGTTAATGGTATTTCCTTTCTCAAGATAGTCGATGAATATTACACCACGCACATCCCAAAATATCGAGGCCATAACCTTTCC